CATACAAAACACAACAACAATTGGAAAAAGAGGTTTCTTTAAATAATTTACTTTAAATGTATTCTTAGTCGTGTCACAATATCAGGAACAAAAAACAACAACAAAAAACCCCCAACCATTCAGCTTTGATTGTAACATCTAGGGCTGTCGTGCACTAACTGCAGAGTCACGGCAGGCCATGCTACATACTTTAGCACAGCTGGCAGAGGACTGCATATATGTTGAAAAAATATTTTATCATAATTGTTTTGAATGCTCTACCTCAGATTTGTTAAGTGATCCACTGTTTGGCATCAAGTGTTTGTCACGTTCTGACAATAAAGAATAGTTTAAAATCACAACTAACCATTTAGTTTCTTCAGCTTTCACTCAGAAGCAAAAATCAGCTTTTAAACTTGACATTTATCGTGATAATTATTGATATTGACTGATATTCATTTTTTTATTGTGACAATTTTGGCCACATTGCCCAGCCCTAGCTTTAAAGAGCAAATACTTGTTTAGTTTTACTCAGTAAATGTCTAAAACAAACCAAGATTAACATCAGCTTTCTGTCAGTACAGTATAGTTGATGCAATCAGTGGAAAAGCAACACAACAAAACCAGCCAAGTGACTCAACTGATTATGCACAGCTCAAGAAGTTCATCAATCTAAGTGCTGATAAACCTGCAGAGACACCTGTCAACACATTACTTGACAGACTACTAGAGAATAACATGGTTTTACAGTTGGTTATTAGGAACTGATGACTCTGCCAACAAGACAGACAGATGGGTGTTTCATGACACTGACGCTTAGTTGTCCGCATTTGTTGATGCCAGCTAGTCTGCCGCCACTCCAGATTTCACAAATGACTCAAAGACAGATGCAGCCAATCAGTCAACAACACCTGTGAGTAAAATTTGACCTGCATTGCTGTGTACCATGCAACAGAAAGGCTGAACTAAACTTAAGAGTACACTTACCTCTGATTAATTCGCCGTTCATCTTCACTCCCAAAATCCTGCAATACAGAGACAGGAAAAGATTAATACTACATCAAACCCATCTAGGCATTATTAACAAACATTAAAAGTCTGCCACTTAAACAGAAGCTCACCAGGTAACCCACAACGAAGATGCTAAATATACGGTGTGTTCATATTCAAAAGATCATGTTGATATAAAACCTCCTGTGTTCATCTATTCCCCACCTTTAGAAAAGTGAACTGCTCTACGGGAAAATGGGCTTGCTAATGTTTCACCACAGAGGGGTAGTAGGCACAGAAGAGTATAATCTAACAGTACACTTCAGTCAGAGTCAATCTTGTCTTTTCGTGTGAGGCTGCTGTCAAATACGACGCTTAAAGCAAATACCTGGGCAGCCACCGCAAATGCAGGTGTGTGTTATATGCCTTTCATAGCATCCACACCACCTGGAGGCGCTTGCAAGACGCAGGGGGAGCAGATATGACTTGAAAGTTCATCAACGTAAGAAGCAAGCACACTAAAACTAGTGTGCCTGCACAGATGAAAGCACAGTCCGCAACAAATTACACGACAAGCAATTACATGGCAAGGGTATAATGGGGGGTGATGAAAAATACTGTGTAAACATTTTGACAAGTTCAGCTGACCAGCCAGCACACACTGCAGCAATCAGAGTCAACAGCATTGCTTCAGTTTGGCCACAGATCTGCCTGAGGAAAACACATTGCATTAAATATAATTTAAGGCAAACAGCCAGCCTGTCGACGGAGAACGCAGGAGTTAAGGGGTTTGCTTCGTCTGGTGGTTTAGCACCAAAATACAGCAGATACAGATTTCAATCTTGCTTGATTTTGACAGACACCCTGATCCATGTCTGGTTAATCATGGTTAGGATTTTCTAAAACTCACCAAGTCCTCTTTGAACAATTTTGAAAAAATCTACATGTGTGATTAATTATAAGGTGGTGTTTTTTTTCTGCATGATAAATTAAAAAGGGTAAATAATACTTAAAACCACAATTATTATGTGTTACAATGTATGAGTGACTTTGAACAAAAGCGGACTAAGTCATTCAGAAACAAAACCCCAGAGCTGTGACTTAAATAATACATACATGTTCGCACATAAAGCAAAAGCTTGGGAAACAAATTAAAGGCAAGTAAATTGATGCTAGCTCTGCCTGTTGAAAGAAGTGACAGAAAAGTTTAAGGGCTCTGTAACATGTTTTTCCTCTGACAGAGAAATTATATAGCCACCACTGCACAGATGCAGCAAGTCAAGAATGAGAAATGCTACTGCGTACAGAAAAATTGAGAGTACCATTAAGAAAATCATTCAGCAAGGGGAGCTTGCAACACTGCACATCTAACTTTCCATTATTGTATATTAGGTGAAATAATCTCACACATCTCATGCCAGCGCCTATTAAATCTGTTTACCTCTGCTCTCCCTTCCCCCCTTTCCCTACAGTAGTACTCCACCACCCCACCCACCCCTCATGAGTAGATGACATCATAGCTGCAGCAGCTTCCTGCCTGATTTAACTGTCACACCTCATCACACTGCTGGACAAGTGCAGGGACGAAACCCAGTCAAATTAACAGCACAGATTCCCTTAAGAGGAGCAAAGTGTTGGATGATGTTGCTGTAGATGGCAAGTCTGTTTACTCTGATGTGGTCATCCAGAGCAGAATAAAGTGATCTTTCTTGTTTATAGCTGGTAGTTAGCGCCCTCCTCTGGCAGTAAAGACGAGGAAAATGTACTTAAAAAGAGCAAGGGAAGTTATCTTTGAATGGTTTTAGTTCTGCAGCAAAGGTAATTACGTTTTTGTTGCTGTGAGTTCACAGAAAACAAGGAAGCTCAAACAGTGAAGCTCTACTGCAATTGAGAAGAATAAGCAAACCTTAAAGTTCAGTCATTTGTCCCCATATGGCTGTTTGCCAGTCTGGAAATCTTTATTTTACTTACACAGGTACCTACAAGACAGCACAATGGAAATTGACATAGAAATATGCTGTGTAGTTTACTGACTGTCTCTAATTAGTTGTCTGCTAAAGAGAATAACGTTATAGTTCAATCAAGCCACCTGACAAAAACATAAAAATCTCAGATTTCATATTAATAAATAAATGAGAATTTAGCAGTGCTTTGATTGCAGCAGCGTCTTGAGTGCCGTATTATTGTTGTGCAGATGGTATGTCTCAAACATTTCCCTAATGTTAAATAAAAATAGGTTATTTTCAGTGTCAGCCAGCCACATTATAAACTGCTATCGTTAGCTGTGACAGCTTAAATCACTCATCAGGCACTTGTCAGCTGGCTATCTCCTATCAACGCCACATTTAACAGGTGTGGGAATTTTAATTACAATCAACTATAATTGCATTTAAAAATGACAAATCTATCAGCCGCCTTGGCATGTGTGCTGGCCGGCACCGGCAATTTCTGGTTATCAGTCACGAAGACGTCTGCTAGCTACCGTTAGCTACCGTTAAAGACCTAGCTAGCATAACACGTTAACTAACGGTGCTAATTTAGCTTCAATCAGCGGGGCCTTCCTCCGGCAACATCTCCCACATCCTCAGCCTTTTCCACCAACACCCGCACAACAACGGAGCACCGTTTTCTGTTCACCCTGGAATCAAACTGACCTCCCCCGCGGTCGTGGTTGCTGTGCTGGCGGTGGATGCGGCGCTCGGGGTCGGGGACCGCTGCAAAGTAACCAACGCCATGGCTGGAAGCTGAAGATGCACCGGCCGGCCGCTGGGCCTGGTGAGCTGCTAGCTGCTGGGCTAACCACACATACAACTGATGGATGGACGGATGGATCTGGAGAGGGAGAGGAGCCTTACTACCCTGCATGCAGGGCTGTCTGTGCAGGAAGTGCTGCCTTCAAGGCCCGTCCATCCTGATGGAACTTTCCTTCTGTACTTATATAGTAATAAAATAATAACTACTCAACAACAACAATAATATTGGAATTTGTATTCCACCTTTAAACAAGGCAATTCAGAGTGCTTTATAGAGGACTTAAAAGGCATTTAAGACAAGATATACAGGAAACACACATACTTAGGCTAGGATTTAACAAAATAAAATGAGAGAAGAATTATAGGAAAATACAAATGCTGCTGCTGTGGAATGCAATATATGAATATGTAATAATAATAATAATTAATAATAACACATTTCAGAATAAACCTAAAGTTTAGCTGCTGCTTGGTGCGTGTCCCAGGAAATCTGTGTTTTGACTTTAAGGTATGGTAAGGTACTTTATTGTCACATAATGAAATTCATTCTTTGCATTTAACCAATCCCATTCCAAGTATTGGGAGCAGTGGGCAGCCAGTGTACAGGGCCTGTGGACCAACTCCAGATCTAATAGCCAGTGCTGCTGTCAATGGCACTCACTGGAAAACATATCTTTGGGTGTTTGCCTGGGTCACAGTATGTGATAGCAGCAGTCAAACGTGTAGTCTTGTAGTATTGGAGGCAGTGATAGTCCTATCATAACAGGGAGTCTTATGAATGTTAGCTGCACCAGTGCTTGCATTCTAACAGTAGGCATATGGAAGTTAACTGGCCATTATCTCAGGCACCACTAGTGTTAGTAACATCTCTGTTGTGCCACCTTAAAGCAGCTGTGTGACATATCCTGCTGGAGAGGCTGGCATGAAAAGGGCCTTATGAGATGAGCCAGAATGGACATTAGACAGCACTGGAACATTTATATCGGTTCAAGTATTCATTAATGACATCACTGGCAGCTGTGTGGTTGTGGTTTCCCCTGTGTGGGAGAATGAGCTATGACAAAAAGAGGAGGTGGAGGGGTATAACTGGAGATTATTATAGGGACTACAACAATAATAATTCTTATTGTGACTTACTGTTTTACCTTGTTTGACCATGTTATAATATAATATACATTGAAAAACATGGGTGTGGAAATGTCCGGTATTTGTTCCTACATGGTGACAGAGCTAGGCATCACGCTGAAAGCATTTGTTTGTGTTTTTTGAGAAATAGGCGTAGTAACATCTTGGCGGTTGATAGTTGACCTTTGAAACTCATAAGTGCCGAGTAGCAGCTGTCTCTCCGCCCCTCGCCCACGTGACAGCTGAACCAGTGGGAGGTTGTGATTCCAACAAACTCCTGCAGTGGGGGACGAACACAAGTCGGGAAGGTAAAGGAAAACTTTTTGGAAGTCTTACAGATCCAGTTGTGAGTGGATTATCTGCATAATATTTGCAGCCGTTCTGATCTGTTAGCATCTTTTACAGATGTCTTATGTTTTCCTCGACTGCGATTTGCTCTGAAATGCTGTTTCGCTTTAATGCCTCTTTATCTGACACGATGACTGCTCTGTTACTGTATGTAACTATGTGACTATATCCACTGTCGCGGCTGGTAACTCGGGATTTTCCCTGACAACTTGCAGTGTTATGAAAATAATTGAAACCTCCTCGTTTCAAGTCTCCGTCTTTCCCGTTGAAATACTGGCATTTTGAGCAAGTCAAAGTTTGTCGGTCACAAAATTGTCTCGGAGTTGGGAGTTTTATTGCCCGCAAAATCTGCTTCCATTGGTTGACAACGTAAGAAGCAGCCAGCAGATTGTGCTTTAGCCGTGCCGCAGGGTCACACCTTTTGCTTTGACTTCAGTGGAAAACAGGACAAAATAAAGTGACTACTTTTGGCTGTCAAATGACCAGTGTTTGACCAGTGCGATTATTGAACCTATAAACATGGTCTTGGTATCATTTTAAAGGATATTTCAAGCTCTTTCTATCTGTACAATTTGTTTTCGCATTTAACCATGTTGAAAAATAAAAAGATGTCTAGGTTGCAAAAGTTGTACTCACATGAAGTGCGTGATTCAGCTATCCATGTAGCCTAATCCATCTTGTAGCTTATTGCTGGTTTGTCCTTTGGGTTGTTTTTATTTTTTTCTGGTACAGCGATTGATTACGACTTTTTGTGTTTTTGTTATTCTTTTTTCCTACTCAATCAATAATAATAATAGTACTAAGAAGACTATACACAATTTTAAATAATAAATTGTTTATTAATAATGATGGAATCATTTTCCTTTTTTTCTCCAGTCACATCAAATCTAGAAACAGAATCAGAATCAGAAAAGCTTTTATTGCCAAGTAGTTTTTTTTACACCTAGGAGGAATTTGTTTTGGAGATGAGGTGCTACATGTGGACAAAGACAAACATACAGTTGACATAAATAAATGTAAAAATATATAAATATGGGATAGATTGACAAAAATTATCCCAAAAATTAGTATTAGAATATAATATAATAGAGATCCAGGTTGTCATGTAGTTGGGATGCCTTTATGGGTGAGTGAGTCTCAGATGTAAATGTGTTTTGTCTATCATGATAATCCAGAAATGCGGGTGGCAGTGATTGGAGCTGGAGTCATTGGCTTGTCAACAGCTCAGAGCATCTATGAGCAATATCACTCCATTGTCAGTCCACTGACTATTGAGGTGTATGCAGACCGTTTCACTCCACTGACCACTAGTGATGGAGCGGCTGGCCTCTGGCAACCATATCTCTACGATAAGGGCAACATCCAGGAGACGTGAGTGCATTTTCTCTTTTGACTCTCCACTTTATCTGCAGAAAAGTGGCCACCATTGTAATGTGGTGTTTGTTCTCACATTTAGAAAATGGAATAAAGAGACATTTGACTACTTGCTGAGCTACCTCAGTTCACCGGAGTCCATAAAAATGGGTATATTCCTTCAGTCTGGCTACAACCTCTGCACTGAACCAGCCCCTGTGAGTAGTGCTTTGTTCTGCCCAGTGACCTCAAAGGAGAAAGCCTTTTACAACCCAGAGCTAAGCAATTATGCAATAAAAATATAGATATAGTTCAACTGTAACCTGAAATAACATATTCATAAATGTATCACACACACACACCAGTGCAATATCTACCATTAACACAGTCTAGTAGTATTCATCATGATTGAAAGTAGAGCTTTGCTCAGCCAAACAAATATGGGTGCCTGCAGTGGTTGGACAACAATGACAGAAAGGGCTCACCAAGGATTGGGTTTAAACTCAGACTTGTTTTTGATTGCAGGATCCCTCATTTAAAGATAGTGTCCTGGGCTTCAGAAAGCTCACAGAGAGAGAACTGCAGATGTTCCCTGGATACAAGTAAGTTCCTCAAAGCATAATACTGAAAGAACATAAAGCAGAGCAGCAAATAGTTAGTTAGTTTGTCAGGTAGTTATCTATTCCCCTGCCAAACATTTGACCCACATGAGACACTGATTTATATCAAACATCAAGATTATAGCAAGACATCTTCCAATAAAACATATACAAAACCAAAACAAATATAAATCGTAAAATGATATATACAGCTACAAAGTTTGAGGAGATAAAAGCTTCGAAAGAAAGACACTGCTTACACAGATTTTTTTAATCCTGGCTAAGGGCTTCTCCAACTCGGCTTTTCCTTCATCTCCCATGCTTTCTCCATGTTTCATGTGTGAACTCATCATTCATGTTTTTCTCTTACTATACAAAATATTGCATGGTTACCAATAAAAAATACAAATATAAATAATTGGATGGGTACTTCTGTGTGACCAGCTCTCACGCTCTAACACATCTATCTCTTTTAATATGTCCAGTTATGGGTGGTTCAACACTGCTATCATGGTGGAAGGTAAAGCATATTTACCTTGGCTGATGGATTGGTGAGTAATTAACTTACCTGTCACCTGACTTCCCATGTTGTAGCAGGAGTCCTGACTGTAATTTGTCTTGGTGCAGCACCTGATTGCAACATCATTTATTACCCAATAAAAAGATGAAAGGAAGCACCTGATTGCTGTTATATAAATGTTCAATGAAGTTTTTGGGATCAATAAAGTTGTATTTTATCCTACATGCTCAACGCATGTTCTCAGTTTAGCTTGTCTTTATAAAATAGTTTACCATTTACTATATACTGTGTTTACCATTTTGTAGTGTTGTCTGATATACTGTATGTAATCTATATAGTGGACTAAAATTATCTGACAGCCTAAAAGTAGTTTCCAGTCTGTGGTCGTTAACTGAGAGCTAACTGGCACAGTTAGACAGCTGCCAGATGGGAATGACCTGATTAGTGTCTGAAATGTTTTCCATCTGACACACTACATTGTCCCCAACATACAATTTCCTATAGGTTGTATAATTTCAGACACAGCATACCAAATGTTGTTTAGGATAAGCAATCTTAGCAATCTTGAGTAGTTTTAGTTTAACAGAAGTCAAAATGTAGATTTGTCAGGAGTGGATTTCTGTTTCTCATAAAAGCTGGTATCTGGTTTTATGTCTTTGTTAGGTTGCAAAAAAGGGGTGTAAAATTTTATCACAGGAAAATCGAGTCCTTCAAGGAGGTTAGTGAAGGCTTTTCAATATTATAGTTGCATACTATTATTTATTATTATGTTTTATTTTTAATCTTAGGAATTCTTTTTAAACAGAGTAACATTCAGATGTGGCATTTTCCTACTTACCTCTAGAGTGACTCACAACATGTTCCCATGTGTCACATTTGCTATCTCTTATCATGCTTCCCGTATTCAGCTGGCAGAAACTGGGGCAGATGTGGTAATAAACTGCACTGGGATAAGATCAGGAGAGCTCCAGCCAGACCCTGAGCTTAAACCAGGCAGGGGTCAGATAGTGAAGGTGAGTATGGCCATTTATATCACCAGCTATAAAGGCACCATAGAAATAGCAGTTTGTTATTCCTTTGTCTCTCAGGTGGATGCTCCATGGCTGAAGCATTGGATTCTTACCCACAATTTTACAACAGGAGTCTACAATTCACCGTACATCATTCCAGGGTAGTTCTAGCACTGTGGTACTTTCATTGTACATAATGCATGTTGCTGTGCAGTTTAAGTTCACATGTTATATATGAAATTTAGCTTGTGTAACATTACATTTATTTCAGCAATAGGTGCCATGGGGTTGCTTTCTGTCAGAGCACTTGTAACACGGGGTGACAGTGTTTTTGTAGCCTGAAAGCCGAAGTTGTTTATATGAGCAAACAGAACATCTGTGTCTGCAGGAGTCGCCTCGTGACAGTCGGTGGGATTTTCCAGGTGGGAAACTGGAGTGAACAGAACAACTCCACCGACCATGAGAAGATCTGGGACGGCGCTTGCCAACTCGAGCCAAGTCTCAAGGTGGGATGATATCTAAACGTTGTTTGTCTAAGAGGCCATAAAAATACTTTCTCTCTCAACTGTAGTGAATTATTTACAATGACTCATTTTGCATTTGATATATTTAGAATACTTATTTTGTAACTCAGTCCAGTGACAAGGAACAATTTGGTGGCAAAATTTAAAGCTTGAGAAAGATTGTGTGTTGTTGTTCTCTAACCTCAGCATGCCAGGATAGTAGAGGACTGGGCCGGCCTCAGGCCTGTCCGCAGCAAAGTCCGACTGGAGAGGGAGGCCATACAGTCTGGTGCAGCTACAATAGAGGTAACAACAGCTAAGGAGAACTTTTAAATGTTCATTTTGGTCATTCAACTTCTAAAATATCCTGGCTCTCATTCAGGTGATACACAACTATGGCCATGGAGGTTTTGGACTCACCATTCACAGAGGCTGTGCCCAGGAGGCGGCAAGGCTCTTCGGTCAGATTGTGGAGCAAAAAGGCAAAGGTCCAAAAGCTCGTTTGTGAATCTGAGTCCTATTACAATATTCAGAGAGGGCCAATTCACATGTAACAAAATAATTCTTAAATCCATTGGAGGTTTGGATGATTGTAAAAAGTAAGTAAAATATATAAAGTATACATATATTTCTCAGTAAATGTAGACTATAACTGATAAAATCACGTATCACAGTGTTTAGTAATATATAACAACACAAATCCACAGCTCTTTTTGAAAGATTATTTACTATAATATCATACACATTTACATCCAGTGCACTGACAAGAATCTGTGCACACAGACACTTAATGCAGCACTATATCTCAAACACTGGCAAGTAAGAGTCAGCTTGTTGGACCTGTACTAGTTAATCTCCCATTTTTTTGAACAAAACTTTACTCAGGGGGTTACTCGTAGAATCCGACTGGGCAAAGTCTGTCTACACATCACCTTTGTTACAATCAAAAGCAAAGACAACAACTAAACCAGGTATTGATACATTATTTACAGAAAGACAGAATGTGACATCCTGCCAAATTGACGTGTTTGCATGTGTAGGTCTATGTGTGCAAGAGATGCACCATGGTTTATACATTGTAACACCATATACTCATGTTAATGTCATTTTTTTAATTATGGGATTTTTACTAACTAGATTGAGTCAGCTTTGGGTAATGAAAATACTTCAACACGTTGACTTACATAATGTTGTCCACAAATTCAGTCCAGGATCTGTGGACTCGTTCCAGTTATGCTATAATGATGAAATTTTGTCAACTGTTTGTTATTATGCTCTGATGAATGCTTCGGCCAATTTGTTAGCTTGTTGAAAATAAAATAATCACATAATGATCAAGACATGGGGTGTTATTTTCATTATTACTAGAGTAATAATATAGTAGAAAATGGAAAACAGTACTGGCATGAGATAAAAGAACATATTTAACACAGGACTTTAAAAGATGCTTACTATATATGAGAAAGTCAGTGACTCGATGTGCATTTAGATGAAGTAATCACATAACTTATTTAATCTAATGTCTGTTGATTTGACAGTGTGGAATTGTTCTTCACTCCAGCGCTTTGTATAAAGCTGAGTTTGCAAATTAGTGTCATTTAACAGGCAATTTGTGTGCACAAATAAACGTTCTTTCTTACCTACACATCTATGTCTTTTTTATAGTGTAAGAGTTGGGCTCTCATACACAAACAAAATAGTTTTAAGGCTCTTTAAGAATACCTAACAGTTGTACCCTCTTTATGCTGCTCTGCTTTAGAAAAACAGGATTCAAATACTGTGCTCAAAGTATTTGAATTCTCACAAGTTTCACATCTCATTCACCATTTATTTTCTCAATCTTGCACTTGTGTAGGTCATATGGTCTTTTGCAGTCCCCCCGTGTGCAGTTAAGTCAGTGACAAAATTGTGACTGCAATGGTGGCCGAAGACTATATAATAATAATATGTAATATTGTGCTGCCTGGCTCTCTGAAGCCACTTTCCTAAACGGACAAGTCGTAGGATGGGAATGGAGATGGACACAGAGAGCTGGTCTAGCTTTTTTTTTGCCTCTCCTTGCTTCTTTTCCGCACCGTGGACACCTCTCTTGGTTGTACTTCAGCCGATGCGTGCCCTCAGCCCTGGGAGCTGGAGCTGGACTGAGGGATTCTCTCTGAGCTTTGGGAGGAGGCACGACCCACCATCTCCTGGCCCCACTCACGGTGGCTGGCTTCCTGCAGGCCCCGGCCTGTTGTCTCAATTGGCAGTGCACAGGAGGCGACGGCAGCTAGGAGGCAGCAGCAGCAGTACACTGAGAGAGCCAGGTACACAGATGACTCCAACATCACCTGTAGGATGAAGCGCAGGGACAAACACAAATGACCACCACTTTCTTGTATTATGTATTTAAAGGAGAAAACTGATAGAAGGGGGTTACCTGTGCGACAAAAGGTGTAATAAGGGCACCAACTCTGGCCATCCCACTGCTGGTTCCCAGGCCTAAAGCCCTGGTCGCTGTTGGGTACACCTGCAGAGTATCAGAAAATACTGAGAAGGCTTCCCTGATGTTGGCTAACTTTACTCAGCCATTAATTTGATCTGAGCTGTAACAATCACTGTTTGCAAGCAAGCAAATACCTTAAAATCTTACCTCTGGAGTGTACACATAGGCAGCCTGGAATCCTCCCGCGATGAAAGCTCTTGCAATGAATATCAACACTGTCATGGATGTTCTGCAACAGAGAAACCAGTAATGCTGGATAAATAATGGATCCACAGTTTGATGTTTAACATTCTCATTAGTTTCCATCTTACCTGCCAACACAACCATAGAGGGGAATTATGCACATAGAGAAGATGAAGAAACACAGTGCCATGGTCTTTCTCCTTCCCAGTCGATCAATGGCCCACAGTGTCACCAGCAGGCCTACGTAACAATGCAAAAATCCATTATCTTACAGTGCAGTAATTACTCAGATTAATTAATCTTTCTCAAGTCAGACACCTTGACTTGCCATTGCAAGAAAAGCTGAACTGAAACTAGTAATGTTAACGATGGCCCTGGCACATCTAATGGAATGCAGCCATCATTAATGTAATTATTAACACCTTGTAAGAAAGCTCTATTAATGTTATTTTTTATGATGATTTACTTCTAATCTACTTAACTGATATTTCTGTCTTACTGAGTTATCACAGGTGTAATAATTACATAGTACCTCCTCCACTCAAGTGCTCAACACCGGAGCCTGTGTGCTCAGCCCCCTCTTGCATCCCTCGACATGGAGAGAACTCTGTTGTGGAGTTTGGGGACGACTCCATCATAATCGGCCAGATTTCAAACAACGATGATGACTTCATATTGGGAGGAAATTCATAATCTTGCAGAGTGGTGTACAGTGAACAACCCGCTGCTTAACGTCAGTAAAACTAAGGAGCTGATCGTTAATTTTTGGAAGAAGGAGATAAAGACACACACTCCTGTCTACATCAGTGGTGCTGAGGTGGAGCAGGTGAACAGTTTCAGGTTCCTGGGAATCTGACATGGTCATCTTCACCACGCTGGCCTCAAAAAGGCCTGTATTCATTTCCACACCAGGTTCTTGTCAGCTTGTAAAGAGCAGCCTACGCAGAGCCCAAAGGATGCTAAAGGACAGTACCCACCCAGCCACAGCCTGTTCACCCTGCTGTCTTCTGGGAAGAGATATAGAAGTTTCTGCTGCCGCACTACCAGACTGCAGAGCAGCTTTTTCCCCCAAGCTATCAGACTCTTAAACTCTAATTAATCCTAAGCACTGCTCCATTTAACATTGAATATTGTTTAGTTCTGTTTACCATTTTTATAATTGCTTCTGTATTAATATTGTAGCAGAAGGGAGTTACGAAGCTCAATTTCATTATATAACCTGTTATATTGTGACAATAAATGTACCTACCTACCTATAGTATTTAGCATTATTATGATGACCTAAGTACTAAGAAATAACATAGCAATAGGTACCATTAATTAGCATTAACTAGATAATTACCCAGTAATTTACTTGTATAAAGAAAGTATCACCAGAGTGCCACAAGAAAAGAAAATACAATATACATTTTTGTATTAGTACACTAAAAAAAGACATAAACAGCAGTAAAACCATGCACCAATCACAACATCATTTCAGACCTTCAAACCAAAGTTACCTTTTTCACACACACACACACACACACACACACACACACACACGCGTGCGTGTACCTGGGAATTCAGATAAGGTGGTCCACAACAGGTCTTTGTAGTCGTCGGAGTTCAGATATTTACACTCCAAGTTGCACCGGAGCTCCCTCTTATTACCTTTGGACACTAGAGGGCAATATCAAACAATAGAAAACATGACAGTTAGCACCGCTCTGTGTTGCCTTTGCAAAAACAATCTGTATGAACATTAGACCTTTTTCATGGCAGGCATTTTGACTTGGCAGAAAAGGAAACACACAGGTGTACCTAATAACATTAACTATAATAGCTGTTAACGTTATCACTTACATCTGTGCTTTTCCTGCTATCACCGTGTAAAACGTCTGTCTTGAAAATGGTTGATTCTGTCACTGACTGTGAGAAGCATGCTTTATTAGATGTCTATACATTCAAAATATATAAACTGCTAACACAATACCCTGTTTTTGCTTCGGAAATGTATACTACACTCCTCTCCTGGGTGGTCTCTTTAATTAGTGTACCAAATTAAACTGTGTGTTTCCTTGAGTGTGTGAGGTGATCTGGTAGCACTGGAGCAGCAACTCACTTCCACATGCACCTCCCTCCTGAAACAGCTCTGTAGTGAGCAGTACCAGTCCGTAGTAAGAGAAGGCATTTGCAAACCTGAGGAGACAGAGACGCAGGATGAGACACGTAGTGGGAAAAACAAATGAAATATGTCTGTGCGCTTGAAGAGCATAATGTTTTGGAGAGTAAGAAAGAAAAGAAAATCAGGGAGTAACGAAGGATATGACTGGGTGGCATTATCGTTCATTCCATTTACCAAATAAACCAGAGCAGAACTGTGGTCCAGCGAAAGTGTGAGGAAAATAAGTCTTGAAACTTTCCACGATCCTCCTAATTAAAAGAACAGACATAAAAAAAAAAACCTGAATATACAAATAACAACATAATAGGTAGCGTACATGAATAATGTGCTCTGTGTGAATTTGTGTTCTGTAGAAACAGGCTTTTACCTGTCTAGCAGCGATAAGTTTCCCCAGTGGCATTGGTGCTCCATTCTCTGTAGCAATGCGCTTCAGTGTGGCCAGAGCTTTTTCCTGGTTCCCGGTCAGCACGTCGTATCGAGCACTCTCAGGTAGCCACTGCTCCCGTCCCCCAGAAAAACAGGCATGTCAATTGATGTCATTTGTTATGCTTACATATAGCACAAGACTGATAACATCATACTCACAAAACATAGGATGGCAAAGATGAAGAGAGGAATGGTAGAGAGGCCAAGCAGCCAGCGCCATCCCAGAGTGGGCATGACCAGGATCGCTAAGAGGACTTCGAACACCGTGCCCAGGGCCCAAAATATCTGCAAGGCAAAATCAAAATTTTGTAAAAATCCTGTGCAATTATGGTTGCACGTTGTGTTGTTTGTGGATGTCATTAACACTTTGGCAAGGTGGATGATAGATGAGTGAGATGAGTAGTTCCGGGTAGCACATACCTCAATCAGCAAGATGCACGTGGCTCTGGCCCTCATAGGCAGGAATTCAGCATAGAGTGTCACCCTTATGAGGAGGAACAATTCACTGTTACACATACCTCAAATCAATAATTAAAGCGTTGTTTTAAGAGAGATTAACACTTGTTACTCACGACTGTGGGGCTCCTCCAATGCCAAAGCCCACCAGTGCACGGAGGACGAGGATCCACCCATAAACAGGTGCAAATGCACTCATCAGGCCATAGAACATAGTCCACAGCACGCTCATCTTGAGACCCTGTGTGTGTGTACAATCAAAACACAACAAGCTGCTCAATAAATTACGGCAGTGTGATAGGGCTCTTCAGCAGAGCCTAGTACAGAGTCTGATATTGATCACTTTCTTTCATTCAGAAACAAAAAAAGATAAAATTTTAACTCCTTTAAACTCAAGATAAACTTACAGGAAACAGAAATCTAAATCATCTCCATGTCAATCAGAGGCTTTAATTAGAACTTACTGTCTTTCTGCCATATCTGTCAGCTATGTTTCCCCAAAGAGAAGAGCTGATCATCATCCCGATAAACACTGCCTGCATCAATGAATAGAAAAAACCCAGATAAGCTGACATCCTGTCCTGCTGTAGACGGTACTGTTGCTTTTGTTTTGGTGTGAGCCACTAAAAGTCACTGAATGTGAGACTCTCATTTGATTATCTGCTAATGAATGTTGCATTACCTACATCTCAATCAAGTGATGCCATTAAAAATATGTACTGTTCAAGGCCTCTTTATGCAACGCCATTAGTAAAATCTACAGTAACTCCCCTGTTTGCATATTGTTTATATTATACTCAGAAAAGTAAATATGATTTTAATAGGGATTCAAATCAAAGTATTGCAACACATATTTAATGACATTATAAAGCATTAGGGTCTCAGTGTTTTCCACTTGGTCGTCACTGCTCATTACAAGCACTTATTTCAAAACAATCCCTAATCGCTTAATCAATAACTATCAGGACAGTCTAATAACACTGCAAGCAAGGGCACTTTACAGACATTACAGGGCCATTACCGATGTAAGCAGTGCCACCTCAAGGCTAGGCAGTCTCCATTCACAGTGCAGCTGTGGGGCTAAGATGCTGAGGATCATCATCTCCATGGCATCAGCCATCTGTGTGAACAGAAAACCCAGATACGCAAAACATTTTAGAGTTTACTGGAAAACAAACACAGCAACTGGAATTGTGTATTTTCAGTAAAGAGCAGTTCTCACCCAGGACAGACCAGTGAGGATGGAGAGTTTCCACTGAAATGTCCCGAAGCCTATGGCCTCTACGGCATCTTCTACCATGAATGTGTCTGTCGGGAATGAGTAACGTGAAAATATTTAAATGAGCAGATTCAAACATTCTCTGAACAGTGGTCTGAGAGCTTCTACAAGGTACTGAAGTTGTATACCTGAGGTGGAGAGCACCGGGTGTTGATATGTATTGATTTCTTACAGGTTAGGTGCTTCTGATGACGGTAATAAAGATTAAACCAAAAGCTTGAAACAGAAGATATGCCTCTGTCATTCTTTGGAGAAACTATTCTCTTATAAAAGATACTTTTAAGATTGAACGTTTTCTTGACCTTGGAAACAGATAAAACCATATCACTTGACTGAAACCATGTGACTTTAGAGAAAAAGGATGTTAGGATATTATGAAAGTGTAGGGGCCGGGAAGTTAAAGATGTTTTGTGTGTAAAAAAGAGCCCTGCCGTACTGTACCATCAGTTGGATTGGCAAACTCCCGAGGAACTGGAGGTCCATCTGCAAGTGCCACAGACTCGGAATCAGTCTGCTCTGCAATCTTGATAACCTGTTCTCTATTCTCGCCATCATCCTCTGACCGTGTGCTCTCACCAGTGCGACGGAAGCGGATGACACTACAAAAAAAGAAAAACAAAATGCGATTCATTTTTTCAAAAGCCCAGGAGGATTAACAAATCCACAATATGTCCTTTCGGGGAGTTTCAGAAGACTAGTGCTGGGGGTTCCCTAGATGATATCTGATATGCCCTTTTTCTGACTGTGATTTTGAAAATAGATGGTATTATTGTCCTATAAGCAAACCATGTAAAGCCAACTGACAGCTCTGCACACTGCATTGTGCTGCTTGGCAAGCTTAAATACCCAGAAACATGCATGTTTTCTACAGCTGGAAGGTATAATTTCTCCCACATGTAGATAATAGACGGTTCACTAAGGATGAAAGGCTATAAGAGAGAGTGCTAGCGATGCCTTAATCACTGTAATTACATCACATAGCCTTCAAGCAATGTCAGTGCTGCAGATGAGTTTGTGAGATGTCCAGCCAATGTAATTTTCATTTTCAAGCTCTTTCGAAAGAAATACATAGAAATGAATATATTCTGTAATATATACTGTAACAACCCCTTAAAAAAACAAAGCCATGTCTTTTATTTCTTTTGTTTTTCTAACTGGAATTGATTTGTAAGTGCTTATCCCAAATCCTATTTTTTACTGTTTGATTAACAAATATTTAATTTTGAAAACTCATATCATTATTTTACTATGTGTCTTGGCAAAGACAATAATTAATGTTCCTCATGACGAGCTGGCTAGACTTGAATAGTCCAGCCTTCATCTCACTGTACAACAGGGCTGAAATAAATCACATCAGGCACTGAGTCATGACAACGAACACAATAACAAGTTAAAAGGAAAACTCATCAGCTTAGAAATCACAGCACACAGCAAACCTGCTTCCTATGAATTAATAAGACCCAAACAGAAAATGCTACGACTGTAAACAAACTGCACCACAGATTATGCTAACTTTATTATTTTTTCCTTCCATAACCTAGGTACATTTCAAGGTAACATGACTGAATACATGTTGTTATTAAATGACTGCTGCTTTAAAGGAATGTCAGGTTATTTGTGGTCCAGCGAGCTAATCAAACAAACACAATGCAAAGCTGTCAGAGGGCGAAGCGTCGGCCAAACAAGCCGTCACGGCTGAAAATAGACTCATTGAAACCAAAAGGCGTTGATGTGCAGATTGTAGTTTACTCACGGCAGCTGCCTCAGTTGGAACAGATCATCGTCCATTTTGGTGTTTACTGGCTGACGCTCTGTTTGGCCTCATCGCCGTTTACATTATCACGACGTGCAGCGATTTCAGCACCGAGGAGAGCGACCTGCTCCGGGTGTCCGCCGACAGCCAATGAGAGGCCGCCCTGCGCGAGTCACAGCACGAGACACACAGAGAGGGAGAGAGGATAGGACGAGCTCAGGAGGATCTGACGCTACATGACTGCTGATTACTGTGGTCCTACACAGGACTTATCAGTACAGAGGTGAACACCTCCACCGCAGTCCTGTTGGTTTGATGTTTTCCATAACAAGATTTGAAATTATTAATTAAATGTATAGTGCCATTTTTTCCCTTAATTTGCTAAGTGCATGGTAAGTTGTGTAGTGTCTTTCAAACACAGAGGTAATTCAAGAAGAAATGCATTACTACAACATTTAAAAACACAAAGCCTAAAGAAAATAAACAGAAATAAAATAAAATAATATCAATGAAACAAGATTAAATAAAATACAAATAACGGACCAAACATGATGTATAAGGTTTAATTCTGACGGGACCGGAGCAGCTGTAAACCAGCACGTGGTGGGTATTGTGTTAATTATTTCTTTAAATTAATTTGTCTCCATGTTGTGTGTCTGTGTCTGCTAACATTAACATTACCATTAACAACCTTTTATTTATTTATTTACTTTAGCCTATTTGTAAATGTCAATAAACACAAAAGCGTAAAAAAAAAACAAAAAAAATCAACTTAAGAGAAAAAAAATCGAAAGAAAATCGTCCATGAAATTTATTTAAACAATGAAAGTAAAAACTGGTATGGGGGATTGTTTTTGACAGAAATCACAACACGTATGAACAAATGTTGTGTCTTGCCAAAGTTTCCTTGAGTGAGAGCAAAACCAAAAGAAATGTAGCAAATGTTAATGTCAATTGTTCTCAAAAAAGAACAATTGACATTAACATTTGGTTCAAAGGTCGTCACATACTCGCTTGAGAAGGTTGTAGCTGTAAATTACTCTTCAGATTTCAGAAATGTGCGCAACAAACACTTTGCTGGACGGACGGTAAAATGTGAACACATCGGTACGCTCTCCCGTGGGTCCGGCCTGAAACATGCCCCAAAAGGCGGGAGTTCCGCAATGAAAGCAGGATGTTGTGGTGCAGACCAGAAAGCTCTGATAAGCTTGTTGGGGAGTTCCTTGGCACCGGACCCATAGTCAGGTAAAACCTCCCCACTCCCTCTCCCTGCCAAACCACAACTAAAGCTTATTTTAGTGGGACAGGAGGAAAGCGGGTCACGCCGCCGCCGTAAACTGGACCCAAAGTGTAACATGCGCAGACAGGAGGACATGCAGACACAGAGTCCGGTTTAACAAACGTTACAGTTACAAAAGCTGCTGAAGGAGATACGTAGCAGTGACTATTTAACACCTTGGATATGCATTTATGGAGGCGACATAATACGCCGAGGGCAGCCTAACCTCAGTGTTGTCGGTAAGTTAGGCTAAACGCTAAAGCTAGTGCTCTACTGTATGCTAATGAGCATGCAAATGACAGTGAGCGCTGGTTCGTGGTGGTGACACGTAGCTGGTGAGGTGGGGGTGGTTAGTATCGTTTATAACTAGAAAACGTCTAGATAATGTCGAGATAACTAGATAAGGCAGCGGCTGCAAAATAACATAATAACCTTTTGAAGCTTGCTAACAGTGGCACTAGCAGACGAGGCTAAGTTGGAAGAGGCTTTGCTTGATCTGAAGTTGCGTAAGGTCTCTTTTACCACACAGATCAACGGCTCAAAGGTTAATGGATCACATTCTTAATGCAATTAATTTGCATTACTTGACGCGTTGTTTTGTCTGGGTCTTAATGGGAGAGAGCGAGAGAGGGAGAGCATATGATATATGATATATATAAAACGCAATGATAAGAGTTCCGTCCGTTTACAACCCGTCAACTACATGGTTCACTGAGAAAGACAAGGCTGTGCAGCACTGCTTCGCTTGCTGATGAAATCACATGCACGAAAACACAACATTCACGCAGCTGCCAGTTTGTTGGGTAAACTTAGCTAAAATGCAGTATTTAATACAAACAGCCTTGCAACAATTCCTGCTTTCATGCTTTCAAGCTTATAATGTTCAGTTTTTGTTGGAACGGTTTTAGGTGAGGTGTGTGGACTCGTCGTTGAATTGTATGTATTGTATTATATTGAGGGTTGTATCTTACATTTTCTCTGCAGCGTTTATATTAATGAGGTCAGAAGGAAATTTCAGTATAACACAATACAGTTCAACCTCGCTTAAAACTACCGCCTCCAAAATGACCATAACTTTTCTATGAACTCTGTGTTGGTTTTGGCAAAAGAGACTCAAAAATGGGTACTTGACTGCAAGGTCTGAAGGTCTGGTGTAGAGGATGTCACACAGAATATACTCTGCTTTATTAAGCTGTACTTTTCTGTTGAGTACCAGTGATTTTGCTGCAGACCTGGACCATCCTAGTTAGTTCACTCTTTTGGTTTGACATTTAGAGAAGCATACCAACAGATATAAGAAAATGTGCACTCAATAAAACAATCTGTTGGTATTCCTGCCAATAATCAATTTGATAGTGCCCAAAAACAGGTGTTAGACATGGTATTAGGATTACTTGACACAGTGTAAGAAGAAGTGAAGAAGCCTTGGAGGTACCGACTCCTTATCTAGAGCTCTGACAAAGTGTTTCTTAAGGCCCGTTTGATGTGTTGTGGTAGCATCAGCACCTTCCGGCATCCACCAGCCTCAAAACCATGCTGCTCCATAATGGTAACAAGTACCCGTCTCTTCCCCTGGCTCCCTCGGTGCACCTCAAAAAGGATTACAACTGCATAAAGACACGCCTTGAAGTATGATGAGTACAGTTGGGAGTTAATTGGAGACTTTAAAATGGTGGCATTCCCAATGGGTTTCCAAGGCAGTTTTACCATGTTTCCCTGCTATCTTTGTCTTTGGGCCCACAGGGACACCAAGGCGCTCTACCTCAGGCGGGACTGGTCACAGTGGACCGAGTTCTCTGTGGGTAGGAACAAAGTCAAGTGGGAGCCACTGGTGGATCCCCGGAAGGTGCTGATGCATATCAAACCAGGCCATATGGAACAATTTGTTAGAGCTCTAGATAAGGAGATGGCAGTAATTAAAAAACCTTTCAAGACTTCTTCCCTAAGTTGATGAGGCGAAGACAAAGCCGGTGTATAAATACATGTTCATTTTTATTCATAGCTGGGTTTTTTTCTGACTTTATGTGAACGAAAAAGACAGAAATTTGCTCGTTTGGTCATTGGAAATAGGAAATTGAAAATATGACTTTTGTGACAAAAGCAAAGTTTGTGGGGAATAATAGCCGTTTTCTATACTTTTGAGGCATAAGCAATTAGGAAATAAGAGTTATTAGCCAGCAACAAACATTGCGTTACTAGTGTTATTGATGATGCTATTGATTATTGTATGAATGCGTGTATTTACCTGTATCTTTTGTCTTTTACTGCCCTCCATCCAAAGACACCATTGTTCTTCGTTAACACTCTTTTCAGAAACAAGATGATAAAGAACTGGGGTGTCATCGGTGGGATAGCTGCTGCGATTGCGGCTGGAGTATACGTTTTGTGGGGCCCAATTACAGAGCGAAAGAAGAAAAAGAGAGGTTAGAAACAGTATGGCAATGTAATACACAGATTATATGTAGGGTTGCAAAGTAGTAACTTACAACAACTCATGTTTGCTTTCAGGTATGGTTCCTGGTCTGTTGAACTTAGGCAACACATGCTTCCTGAACTCTTTGCTTCAGGGCTTGGCAGCATGTCCGTCCTTCATCAAGTGGCTGGAGAAGTTTTCAGGTTCGCCTTTAATCCAGTCATGCAAAGATAACCAGCTGTCCATGACACTGCTTCAGCTTCTCAAAGGTATGTAAAACCAGTCTGTTATATAAGTCAATAGAGCATACTAGTGGACATGCATGTGTTCATTCATATTTTTGACATGGATATTGATTTTGCACTGTCAGCTCTGTCCAGTGAGGAGCCTGGAGAGGAAGATGTACTTGATGCCGGATGCCTCCTGGATGTTCTCAGACTGTACCGGTGGCACATCAGTTCATTTGAAGAGCAGGTAAGTCAATAATGCTTTTGAATGGCATTTTTTTCTATCTATATATTTAACGAATGGTGCAGTGTCGAAGTCTTAACAGTTGTCTGTTCGTGTCGGTTTATCCCCTCTCAGGATGCACATGAACTTTTTCATGTCCTTACGTCTTCTCTGGAGGAGGAGCGGGATCGTCAACCCAAAGTCACTCACTTGTTTGACATGCAGTCACTTGAGGCAAGTTGTCATCTCCCTACTTCCTTGTCCCTAAAACCGCACACAAATATCTCTAGCATGCCGATGCTTCCAGTATGCTGTGCAGTTCAGTTCAGCAGTTTTGGAGCACATGTGTAGTCTGGGGGGTTTTTGCACTACTGCCTCCTACACCTTTTAAAATTTCCGCATGTGAACTGTAGTGGTGCTGAAGAAGTGTCAGAAATGACAAATCTGGCTCTGCACTCCCAGTTATTCTGTGTGTACATGTTTGTTTTATACCAGAGTCTCCCTGATCAAGATGAGAAAACTATGACCTGCAGAAGTCGAGGTAAGAAGACAAAGACATTTTGGAGCTTAGAATATCAAACCCCAAAGAAATATCTTTAATGTGTAGTAATTTTTCATTTTGCAGCACCACTTCATCCGATACCAAGTCCTTGGAAGTTTCACCATCCTTTTCACGGTCGTTTAACAAGCAACATGTCATGCAAGCGCTGCGAACAACAAGTGAGTTAGTTTTTTTTTGCTAGAAAGGGAATAGAAAGTTAGTTTGTGTTCTTTGACTTTTAACTTTCTCGAGGTGATTTATAGATCTGCTTTGCTTCTGTTTAGAGTCCGGTACGGTATGACTCATTTGAGAGCCTCTCCCTGTCCATCCCTTTACCTCAGTGGGTAAGCAAAAATGTCACAAACACGTAAATCACAACTTACTTATAGCTTTTTGTCTTTCAGTTTTTTCATAATTTGATCTGTGTTTTTCCTCAGGGTCGACCTATCTCTTTAGATCAGTGTCTTCAGCATTTCATCTCCTCAGAAACCATCAAAGAAGTGGAGTGTGAAAACTGCACCAAGGTATGCTCACTGCAGTACCAGTGTCTTGCCAAATTCTGGTTGTCATTTTGTTAAATATGTGATTACACTATAGACAGGAAATCCTTGTCACAACACTTTGTATCAAGGTCCTTTTGCATTCATGTGAATGTTATATTTTACACTTGACAGGCATACGTCTGTCTTTAGAAAGATATTTTTCCTGATTTTTGTTTCATTTCTCAGCTTCAACAAGGGACCACAATGAAGGGGCAAGTTCTGGAAAGCCAGAGGACAACATTTATTAAACAGCTAAAACTGGGAAAGGTAACTGTCATATGTATTTATCATGTCACTATTAGCTGAATATGAATAGCCTTCAATGTTAGTCACTAGATAGTACAACAGGAAAATGTTGGGTAGATCAAAACTTCCCATTGTTTCTTAATGACAGCTGTTAACAAAATCTCTCTTGTCTAATGTTTTCCTCCCTCTTCTAGCTCCCCCAGTGCCTCTGTATCCATTTACAAAGACTGACGTGGTCCAGTGAAGGAACACCCATCAAAAGACAGGAGCATGTGCAGTTCACAGAGTACCTATCGATGGACCGCTACAAACACAATGCTTCCGCACAGAGAAGTCAGCGGGTCAGATGTGCTCCAAAGCCCATAAAGGCAGATAATTCAGATGATTCAGTGGAGAAGCCCACTGCGAATGGCACTGGTACGTTGGATTTGTCAGGTAATATCATTCTGTGTCACATTCTGTTTTTTTGTAATCATTTGTATGTTGTATTTTGTTTTCCAGATGTGGAGCACCGTAACAACAACAACAACCCTTTTTCCAATGGAACGTGTTCGTCTGTATTTCTTCACTCACCTGGTGTGAACCCTCAGCTCGGCCTCACATATGACTACAGGTAGTCAGTTAAAATGAAGGTGTAACAATACAAAGAACTCGTGCAACAGGCCTTTTCAGACTTTCACCAAAGTTACCAGATCTCAACCCAATTAAACACCTATGAGAGATTTTAGACTAATGTGTTTGACACAGTCATCAAAACACCAAATGAGGGAATATCTTTAGGATAAAATGGTGTTCATCCCACCAGTATAGTTCAGAGACCTGGAGAAACTATACCCATGAGAATTGACGCTTACCATAAACTTGTTTTTCTTTTATCTTCCTTTATTCTTTCCTTCCAGTTCTGCAGAGTACCTTTTCCAGCTCACGGCTGTTCTGGTTCACCACGGTGACATGCACTCAGGACATTTCGTCACATACCGTCGCAGCCCTTCACCCTTCAGTTCCTGGCTTTGGGTGTCAGACGACTCGGTACGAAAAGCCAGCCTGCACGAGGTGCTGTCTTCCAACGCTTACATGCTCTTCTACGAGAGAGTCCGAAGACTGAATCTCGCTGTGCGCTCTTCAGAGGAGTAACCAGTAGCTTACAACCTCACAGTCTGACTGACGTCTGCCTTTCCAGTCAAACTGTCACAGTATGTGCCAGTTACAGTGCAGTTACCAACAGTTTGATTTGTCACAATGAGACCAGAGAGGAAAGCCACCCTAGTATTGTAGAGAAAACACCAATAACATAGCACCATGGATCACAGCAACAGGTCGTTCTGTATGTTCTGACATTAAATTCATGAGTGGACACTTTATGTGGTCGAGATTTGGAGGCTCTCAATCCCAAAGATTACGGACCTGCAGGATTTTTAGTCAGATATATTTCATGTGACACAGGTAACAGGTTTCAGTCATGTAACATTTTGGCTTCTACGGGACAAAAAAACAGGAACACCTGGCGGAGGTTGTCAGAGGCCTTGACTGTGGCATTTTTATGATGCTGTAGCTTTTGGTGTTAAATTGGAATGCAATATTCTTGAAGTTGCTCCTGTTATTTTGTCCACTGCCTGTACATTACAGACGCAGACAGAAGTAGCTGATTAGGCATTCTTGGATATGTTACTTAGAGGTTGTTACATATTGTGAAAAAACAAATAGGTAGAATTTTCCTTAACTCTGGGTCTCTATCGTCTAACCTGATCTAATTTGCCTAATGTTTCCCAGCAGTGTACGTAAACTGTAGTGGAAATATTGTTTCAATTGACATCGTTCATAAGCTAAGTTGAAATTGATATTTTTCTATGTTTCCAATAATCTTTACACTCTCGCGATTTGTAGACCTGCACAGTTAAGGTTAAAGTGTTTAACCTACTTTAATGCTCGAGATTTTTAACATATGAAACCATGTGTGCTACAGATACAATATGATGCATCAGAGCCATTTGGCATGGTGTTGATGTGTAACAGTTTAACAAATCAGTAATGATCTGCTCTCTGTTGATTAACAGCAGGTTTTTGGGCAAGTTATCCTGAATATTTTAAATTCTGTGTAACTGATAACTGCCATTTTGCTCCTACCAAACCAACCAGGTCAAACTGAAAAATGGCCTGGTTCAAAACACCTTGTAAATGTTTGCAATTTGCACTAATGTATATTCATGTAAGATTGTGTGTTTTTTGTGTGCAATCTGTAAAGGTGATTGTTTTCAGGTATTAAAATATGAAAAATTCAACAAATGTGCCCTTTAGAGTTTTATTCTTAAGAGCAAGATAATAATTTGCTACTTTTGAGAAAACAGAGAGCATGGGTCAGTAGACAAGCCAAAGATCAAGCACCCACTTACTGAAGTGTCCAAAACACTGAATCGCTTCCAGATGCAAGAATTTTCTTAAAGCTGACCAAGCATGCGGTCCTCGCTGAAGATTTTTAAACTGAAGATTTACACTAGAGGTAAGTGGTACATTTTTGCTTAATATCAAAGGCAGAAACTGAGAAAATAATTATTCAGATGGAGTACCAAAGCTTATAAAGACCTTGAGATGGGTTTGAAAGCTCTGGGGGGAAAAAAGCTAGTGAACTGACATTGAGATAGGTTTATTTTGCCAAAATTATGAACTTGTAGAAATTCAGTGCAAAGTGTATTCTAATGCAACACAAGAAGCTAAATGTAACCAATATGGTCTGCGCTCAATGACAACCCATACTTTTCCCAAGGAGATTGAACTGTGAAGAATTGTTTTTATTAACATTAACATTGCCAGCTGCTACATAAAACTGAACCTGATGAAAGGAGCTTTAGTGGTAGTTTGACCTTGAGTCAGTCAGAGATTTGGGTCATTTTAAAACCACTAATTCACTGTGAAATGTGCTTAATCTCCAGAGTCCCACTTGACAGTCCTCAGTTATTTCACCTTGTGCTGTCATTTAGTCCCTCAGACTCAGCTGCTACAGTAACAAACACTTTAGATTGGTGATATGTGGCCATGTGCCCAATGACAGCAAGGGGGCTTATCTACATTAAGCCTAACTTGGAGCCCCTTTAATCAGATGTTTCTTAGGCCCAGATGATAATCCATGATGTAATTTCTTTCTGTCTAGCAGGATGCGTCTAAAGGTGAGGTTGATACGAGGTAGGAAAATCTTCTTGCGAGCAGGGAGGCTGTGGTACCAGAAAGTGTTGGTTGGTGGGTTCATGAGGAGCAGGCTCCCATGAGCGAGTTCCAGCTTCACGAGTTCAATCTGTCGCCGGCTCTGTTTTCCCCGAGCATCTCTGTGCCGGAAGATAAAGTCTCGTGCCGCTCCCAGAGAAACAGAGGCGATGGGACAGAGGGGGTCCAGCTCTTTCTCGTCATCCCGATGCTCACCCATGTGATCCTGCCCGTCTTTGTACCTGGAGGAGAGAAGAACACTGACAGCAGGGAGACAAATATCAAACTGTGACCTTTACTTTAACTTCAGTAATTTCTCACCTGTTGACCAGAACAAAGTTAAATGTTTGTCCGGTTGCTTTTGTGACAGAATCCCGAATATATTCCAATGTTGGAGTCCATGGAGAGGCTAACCGTGTCACCCCAGAATAAGTGTAGGCTAGACCTGCATCTCCATATGTCGCCTGCTTTCTCGGGATATTGTACACCTTTCCAAACACCTGGACCTTTGCTTCTTCCCCTGGAACAAAAACAGCCACAGTCCTTTAAGTACACTGAAACTTCTGGTCATAACTTTGGAGGAAAAGGTTTGATGTTGTACCTGTTGAGTACACCACCTCCTCCTCCAGCTGTTTAAAAAGGTGGTCAGCTTCCTCTTTGGAGAACAGCAGAGCATAATCGCAGTCTAGTCCCTCTGCCTCTATTTTTTGCCAGGGAACAGGATGAGAGAACTCTGCTAAAGCGTCTTCCTCCTCCTGCTGCTGCTCCATCCTCTCATCACTCGGTTTGATCTTCTTCCATGGACTTCTTGCATCAGTGGTGCAGGAGCGTTTATTCTTTCCCTGAACCACAAACTTTTCCATTGCAGTAACCTGTTGCACTTGGATGAGGCAAAGAAGAATGAAACATTAACACTGATTATTAAGCTTAAATAAATGTGAAACAAGCATCTTCGATGTCAGTCTGCAATTGAGTGAACTGGGTGACTGTACCATATTTCTCCCAATAGTTAAATTGTTTTTAGTTTAAATTTGTTCTGTTTTGCTGAATTCACAATGCTTTTAATAAAAGGTTTGGCTGCAACTAATCATAATTTTGATGATCAATTAATGATATATTTCTCAATAAATCTTTTTATATAAAAGATTAAATAGTGAAAATGGCCATCATAATTTCACGAGGCCAAGGTGATATAATAAAACAGTTAAAAACGTAAAAATATTAAATTTATTCATTGATTTTTTTAAAAGCAGCAAATCCTTACACAAAAGAACAGGGAACCAAAACATCTGGGGCATTCATGGACAAGCCAGCGAGTACTGTGAGGGTCATGTTTTTTGATTTCTCCAGTGCTTTCAACACCATCCAGCCAGCCCTGCTGGGTGAGAAACTGACAGCGATGCAGGTGGATGCCCCCCTCATGTTCTGGATTGTTGACTACCTGACCACAGTATGTGCACCTGAAACACTGTGTCTCAGACAGCGTGGTCAGCAATACCAGGGCACCACAGGGGACTGTCCTCTCTCCCTATCTCTTCACTATCTACACCACGGACTTCAACTACCACACAGAGTCCTGCCATCTTCAGAGGTATTCTGATGACTCTGCTGTGGTTGGTTGTATCAGCAAGGGTGATGAGACCAAGTACAGAGCTGTGGTGGGGGACTTAAGCATAAGCATCTGCAGCTCAACGTGACAAAGACTAAGGAGCTGGCTGTGGATCTAAGAAGAGCCAAGGCACCATGACCCCTGTTTCCATTCAGGGGGTCAGTGTGGAGGATTACAAATACCTGGGAGTGCACATTGACAATAAACTGGACTGGGCCAAGAACACCCAAGCCTTCTATAGGAAGGGCCAAACCATCTCTATTTTCTAAGGAGGCTGAGGTCCTTCAACAGCTGCCGGACAATGCTGAGGATGTTTTATGAGTCTATTGTGGCCAGTGCCATCCTGTTTGCTGTTATATGCTGGGGCTACAGGCTGAGGGTAGCAGATGCTAACAGACACAACAAAATGACCTGCAAGTCCAGTGACGTTGTGGGGGAGGAGCTGGACTCTCTGCAGGTGGTGTCAGAGAGGAGGATTCTGTCCAAGTTATCTTGACAATGACACTTTATACTCTGATCTTTATATATTCTTTATTCTAAAATAGTTAAGCAAACGTACATTTGCCTCAGATGAATGCTGGGTGCTTTACCTACAGCAAACTGTAGGAAACACCAAGCAGCAGTTTGTCTTGAACAGCGCTCAGCTCATTATCATAAATCTGCTTTCGTCACTTTGTTTTGGCGCGAATTACTTTGATCCCGGTGAGGGAGTTCTGGTTTCCCGAGGAGCACACTGCAGCTTTTCTCCCACATTAAGTTAATTAGTTTACGGCAGCTAACCGCCCAGGTGTTTTTCCAATATGATTGGACAGAAAACGATTAATTCTTTTTTCACGCCTATATCGAAGAAGAGGACTTTAAATGGAGCCGAGGAGGATGCTGCAGACCCGGTGAGAGTCACTTCTGCTTCAGTTTAACCGCTAACTCTGGCCACATGTCCGGCTTGCAATGTTAAAACACAACGTTATTAACATATAATCATTTACAGAGTACTTACACGAGTATATGTCAAACAGTGAGGGATCTGTCGTTTACACGTTCAGCGTAATCCAAGCTGCCTTCACAAGCGCCACTCTGTTCTTGATTGTTGTGAAATTATGCTCCCGGCTACCACAGCACTATGTTTGCGCTACGTTGTCGACGGCTTCTAAGGCCAGTTTCACCTCCAGCTGCACGCTTCTCACCGCCTCTGTATTTTGCTCAATACACTAAAATTCTGCAGAAGAAGCCGAAGTCTTCGGCGGTGGAGCCAGAGCCCTGCAGCCCTCTTCCTGCTCCTCTGTCCCCGGAGCAGCTGGACAGGATCGCCCGCAACAAGAGAGCAGCGTTGGAGAAACTCGCTTCCGCTCAAACACCTCCAGGGTTTGGGGAGAGCTGGAGAAAAGGACTGTCGGCTGAGTTTGGAAAGACCTACTTTAAACAAGTGAGAGGAAGAGTCAACACACTGTACGTGTCGTATCTGTTGTTTTGAACACTTCTAATAACTTAAATATCTTTGCCATAGTTGATGACCTTTGTTTCTGATGAGAGGAAACGCCACACTGTGTACCCACCTGCTGAACATGTCTTCACCTGGACGCAGATGTGTGACATCCGGGATGTAAGTGTAACTGCACGGACACTTTCCCTGACCTGTGACAGTGTCAGACACCAAAGTGTAAAGCATTTAATAGTGATCAGCTGTCGGTTTATGAGCACTATGACATAAGCAGGCATATTTTATGTATGTAGAACTATTTATAACAAAAGTTTTGATGGTGCTTTATTGGAAAAGGGGAAAATGAATGAAAAGATATTACATAAAATCATTGAGCAATAATGTTATAAAGTCAGTAAGTGCATTTTAAGATTTGCAGCAGTTTGGCTTTTTTGAGGCTTTGAACAAAAAACAACTTAATTTTTCCTGCCCTGAGTGCTTGAGGTTCCTTGTGGTGAGGACATAAGTCCTTTTAACTATTGACAGGATCAAACATTCTTTAAATCTGAAGTTTAAAACTGGATTTAACATTTCAGGGCAAGTGGATGAATTGTGTAATTATGCATGGCTGTATGTGGTCTAATCAAAAATTTCTGTTTTGTCACAGAAGTGGTGAGACTTCCTTTTTTTAATCACACTAAGGTAGTGTTGAATTGTGTCATAGTTGGACCACATGCACACTACTCCGTTTTAGTTTACAACTGGAGAATTAAAACGAATATGATCTCTGTCCACACCAGCGTTTTAGCTGCGTATCAGAGTTGATCCCAATCTACATTAAAACGACTGAAAACGCACATCTGTTGGCCGGTCAGGTACACTGGGTATGTGCGTGCCGGTGTAAACATGAAGCAGATGGTCAATTCTGTAGTTACACAAGATTTGGCGAAAGAATAAAGAAATGCAGACAAAGAATCAGACCAGTTTTTTTGCATGCACCAATAACGAGCTGGGACTGTTACTGAATGTAACACGGGAGTGTGGCGGCGGAAACAGACGTTGTAAAGTAAACGCTGACATGCACAGTACAAGTGTAGGCAGAAAGGCCTAAGTGTTATTTGCATGGTACAGAATATTTTATTAAAAATACCAACTCTCCCAACTAACTCTGTCAGTGGTATTGTGTTTCTGCTTTGCATGATTTATAAGACCCAATCAGAGAGCCGAGTGTCTGCGTCATCGTTTCTCCGTTTTTGCCCGTCTTCACGAAAACGCCCTCCAGAGTTTCGAAACGCAAAATGGGGGCAGCAGCGTTTCCAAACTTCTCCGTTTTAGATCTTCGTTTTCACCGTTTTAGTCGGGACGGGAGGTGCAAACGTAGCAAAAGGTCTCTGTGCTAAGCAACTACAACTAGTGACATCAGTGCTAGACTGACAACAACAAGCCTACACAAGCAGCAGCTGAGGACAACAAATGGAAAATCAGTTTAAAGTAAATATTAGCGGGCAGATTTAAATCGATTCAATATTCACTTTTTTCTTTGAGTAAAGAGTTAGTGAAAGCCCTGTGCACAGAATCATCTGCAGTATTACCTGTGTATAAGTGTGTGTTAAGTGTTTAATCTGAAGAGTCCCTTGGTTTGCCATTAATTGTTGCCTCACTCTAAGATCTGTCTCTAAATCCAGGTGAAAGTTGTGATTCTTGGCCAGGATCCTTATCATGGTCCTAACCAAGCCCATGGATTGTGCTTCAGTGTTAAAAGACCAGTGCCTCCTCCACCCAGGTTTCAATACTTTTTAAACCCTTGCCTAAAAACTCCTTACTTTAAAATCTGATGGTGACATATTTATCACAGCTTTGATCCTTTTCATTTCCAGTTTGGAGAACATGTACAAAGAACTCATCTCTGACATTGAAGGCTTTCAGCATCCTGGACATGGAGATCTGACTGGATGGGCCAAACAAGGTAGGTTTACGCGCAGTCTCGCGACAAGAGAGCTGTTGGTCATTACAGACCAATCAGAATCAGCTTTTATTGCAAGTAGTTTTTACTTGTACAAGGAATTTGTTTTGGAGATAAGGTGCTACATGTAGACAAACACAAAGTTGACATAAATAAATGTAGAAATATATAAATATGGGATAGATTGACAAAATATAAAATATAGAGGGGGGGAAAAAAGATTTACACTGAACAAACAACAAATATGTGCAATTGTGTGAAATGAAGTAATATTTACATGTGCAAAGAGATACAGTATTTGAGAGGGAAGAGGGGAGTGTCAGTGAGGGACCCGGGCCTTGTTAATAAAACACGTTCTCATCTGAAGGCGTCAAATACCGACTCTTTGAGAAAGCCTGACAAAGTGTCGTATGAAACGCCTATTTAATATGTGGTCATCAGTGTCAGTATGATACTCCTAGGTTTAGGAAAAGATTGTAGTTTTGGTTCAAATAAGTATATTACGTGAAGGCGGAGGTGTTACATTGGAGTTACTAGAAAGCCCGGGGCGTCTCATACGGACACTGAAGGGTACCCTGTGCGTAAAATACAGGCACTTTGGCTTTCTCAAGGCGTCATGTTTGATGCCCCGAGATGAGACCGGGCTCAACAGACCCGCCACCTTCTACATCTGTGACCTCGCCTCACCAGGTGTGTTGCTGCTCAACGCTGTGTTGACTGTCAGAGCGCACCAGGCCAACTCCCACAAAGACAGAGGTTGGGAGACCTTCACTGATGCTGTGGTGCAGTGGCTCAGCAACAATCTTGAAGGCCTTGTCTTCATGCTGTGGGGATCGTATGCCCAGAAGAAAGGAGCCACTATTAACAGGGTGGGTCTACATTGTTGTTTTAATACAAGCACCATATTACCAAGTGTTTTTTCTCATTCATTCATCAAAGTTTGTTTTCTCTGTTCATAGAAACGCCACCACGTTCTGCAGGCTGTACATCCTTCTCCCTTGTCTGCTCATCGAGGATTTTTTGGGTGCAGGCACTTCTCAAAGGCCAACGAAGTGCTACAGAAATCTGGAAAGTCTCCAGTGAACTGGAAGGCACTTTAAGTTGTTGTGCATGTCGGCTCTTCTAACATGCATGTTGGTAAACTACAGACCAACAGACCCATAAGCTTTCTCAGTTTTCTGTTTTAGCAACAGTATGTGCAGAGATGAAAGAGTTCATGTTGGCAGTTTACATTCTACAGTTTTGTGCTATACACTGAACTTTCATGAAACCATTTGTTGGGATGCATAGTTTTATCATCTGCACCTGTCAGTTACAACATTGTAAATATGTTTGCATTTTTTACTTTTTTATTGAAATATTGGTTCTATTAAAAGTGGTTGCAAAAAGTGGATGTTGCATGCCAATGTTTCTAAATAAGTGTTGTCTAATATAAAACATTTTGATAACTTTCTATGAAGTCAGCCAGTTAGCTGTACTCATACCCTTATTATGATTCAGGTGTTTCATCAATAGAAATAAAATACTTTATGTTAAAGAATATTCTTAGGCGGCTTCATTGATGTAACGGGGAAAAGTAAGCCAGGTCTAGCTTAGGGTCATTAGCTGACTCTACAAGTGTTCACTGTCCTTCCAACTCTAGTTGTTTCTCTCATGTAACTGTCCTTATTAGTGAGGGAACAGTTGATAAGGTAGAGACACTAGCTCAGGCTTCAGGCTAACTGACATTGGTGTTCTCTGGGAAACTGGTAAGGTTGAGTCTTACAAGAATGTTTACTAAAACTTACTGGCTCCACAGATGAGAGTACAATTCATGGATAGTATTAGATTTCAATATGACCTAGCATTTCAATCTAAACATCAGATAGATCTGTAGTTCTAGGTTAAGGTCATCTAAAGATGACTTAATAGGGAAACTTACTGGAACTACGGGGAAGACGAGAAACACGAAAGGGACCAAAAGATGGTATCCTTGAGATTTGGTGTGTTCACGTGTAGTATGCTGGCACTGTGTCTCCTCTGCTGGGCTCAATAAACCAGTTGATAACAGTGTGTGAAACTTCATACCTGAGTCTGGCTCACAATGTTTCTTCAACACTTTATACATTCTACAAACAGTTTTAAATGACCTTATTGATAAGAATCAGCCTTTCCTTTAGTTGCGTTTGAAGGACAGTTTGGTTGAAAGTATTTAGAAAAAGAATAAAGGAATAAAATGAAGGAAACTAAGATCAACACAATATGTACACTACCGGTCAAAAGTTTTAGAACACTCCCATTTTTCTAGTTTTTCAGTTGCAATAGAAGTAGTCCAGTGAAAAACCTTACATGGTACAAACGTAAGCAGCAAACCGCCAATGTTAAAAATGGTGTTTTTAAGTTACAGAAACCTTCAGAACCAAAATTAACAATTAAATTAAGGAGTTTTGTTCATTATTTGACTGTAGGATCAACCTATAACCGTGTTCATTTGATCACCTTTGTGCTGTTCGACATGTAAGAACTAAAAACTGCTCGTGATATGGTGAAATTGATAAATGCCGCCTTAAAAAAAATATAAATCTTTGCCGTTGCCTGTTTGGGACGTCGACGACGTGAAGGCGTGGCTCAACCAGTGACGAAATGACGTCGGCAGGAAGAAGTCCGGCGTGGTGGCTTTTCAACTTCGCCCCTGTCAGTTCCGTAGTGGTAATGTTTGGACAGTTAAACAATTGACAATGCCTGTGGAGAGCCTGCCAGTCCGGGATGTGTCCATTCAGTTGCGTTTACTACAGCAGTATCTGGTCCTTCTGAAGAAATACCCCATCCTCACTAAATCTGTAACAAGGTCAGTAAGCTTAGCTTTGGTTGTTCCCTCAATGTTTAGTTTGTTCATGTTCTGCACCCTGATACTTGCTTTCTGCCGTGTTTCCTCAGTTTAACAGTCAAAAATTATAAGTAATCATTTACTAAAGCAGCGATAAAGTCAAACCACTGCACTTAAGTTAAGTTACTGTTTGAACTGGGTTGCTGTTCTTACTTGTTGACTGAAGTTTATCTTTCAGACCACTTTGTTTGATCTGACCCCTGACTACCCTGTAGTGTCAGCATTAGCCAATCAGTATCTGCCAGGAAAACCTCCCCTAGTATGACACTGATTTTATTTAAATCAGAGTAGCTTATTATGAATGTACCTGTTGTGTATTGATAAAGTTGAGTATGTGTGTCTTTGATATTTTCAGTGGCATCCTCTCAGCTTTAGGAAATCTTCTGTCTCAGATTGTGGAGGCAAGAAAAAAGGCCAAAAATGGAACCCCGGTCAATGAGATCGACGCAGCTGGAGCTGCACGCTATGCAATTTATGGGTGAGACTTTATGCAGAAAGAAAACCGAGGGTTGACATGCTTTTCATGGCTCATCTACAACAAGACAATTAATTTTTTTTGTGTGCCAGTTAGACTAGAGTCAGTGTGAGTCAGTGTGCAACAAAATTACTGTCACTGATGGCAAAGCATTTACAGTAGCCTAGTGGTCGACTGATATGGGTTTTTTCACTGGCCGATGCCGATATTTAGGGAGCAGGGTGGCCAGTGGTCGGAATATAATGCCAATATAAGTATATCAAAACAAAGAAAAGTCATGTATAATTTCATTATTCCACGCAGAGTACCTTACAATCTAATGTTGTCTTAGCCAGTAAAGTGTTGTTTTAGATGGAATTTTTATTAATCAGTGAAATAAAAAACACATTGGGTTTTGCGGTAGATTTTAGTGACTACTGTTTAAGGGAGAGTGGGGTACACTTTGTCAGAAGTGACATCATTCAATTGTTTTATTTTCTGCAGTATAATGACCTACTGTCATTAAGGATGATATATTGGCCTCCTCAGTGCAGGTGGCGGCCGATGCTGATTATCTCAAAATGCTAGATATCAACCTCTTAATCAGGATACAGTGGTCTATTGTGTCAAACACAGAGTAGGGCTGCTCAGTTATTGTGCACAAATGGAGTGGAGCAGAGCTGGTGACTGGTGAACTAGTGCAAAGTATCGCAGGCTTATGCTCATAATGGTGACTAACAGTTAAAACCCCCACTCATCTCGGTTCAAGCTGATCTAAACATGCCGCAGCCTGTCTGAGAGTGAGTTTGTGATTTTAGGGAGGGGCGGGAGCCACCGCTGTAAAGGACAGGATTTATAACACAAGACAAAACAAGAACACCACTGCAAAACAGAATGCGGAAAAATAATTGTTAATAATAATAATCATCTCCTTTATCTTGGGTATCTACGGGTTACTGTAACAAGCTATTCTCATCACTTAGCATTTCTGCCCTTGATTATCTGAAGGTAATCCAGAATGCCGCCTTAAGGACAAATAGACGGTCTCACATTACCCCTATACTAAGACCCCTTCACTGGCTCCCTGTCGCATTTAGGATCCAGTTAAAGATTCTCTCTATTACTTACAGAGCACTGCACAGTCAGGCTTCTGCAGATGTGGTGGAACTTCTACACCCTTATTCATCAACTTGTTCTCTTAGGTCAAATCACCAAAATGTGCTGTCTGTCCCACGCACCCATGGTGATAGAGCTTTTGAGGCTGCTGCACCTGAGCTATGGACTGCTCGTTTTGTGGATGCTTTCAAAAGGCAGCTAAAGACATACCGGTTTAGACAGGCGTTTGGGTAACCTGTATGCACCAGGTTTGCATCTCAAGTATTTTATTATGTACTATGTATTTTTACCACGAACTGTGTACTAAGCTGGTGTTTTATTACGTGCTGTGTTTTTCAGTTTACTTCCTCTTTACGTGGCTCAAGTGGTCATTTTGTTTTCTTGTCTTGTATGTTGATGTTTAATAAAGCATACAAATAAAGTTTACGTACTTACTATTATATTTTGTTGCCTATTGTAGGTTGGTTATTACAGGACCAGTGAGCCATTACTTTTACCAGTTGATGGAAGTGTGGATGCCTATCACAGACCCGTACTGTATAGTGAAACGTCTGCTACTGGATCGGCTGATTTTTGCTCCTGGATTTTTGCTCCTGTTCTACTTTGTTATGAACATCCTGGAGGTGGGTCATCTCAGAAGCTCTCCCACCTACTCATCTCATTAAACTGGTGCAATTTTATATATTGCACTGGCATGAAGTTGGGGGACCCACAAGATGGATTTGACGGATTTGAAAAAACAAGAATATCCTGAATGCAGAATCCTACACTTCCCATAATGCAACTTCATATCATCTTTCATTAGACCCTTCCTGCCTGATAAATGCTCATGTCTTTCAAATACCATGCTGCCAACACTGGTTTGTTTTTTACAGGTTTAGCAGAACTCCCCATGACTAGTTCTTGATGTGTAAAATTGGTGGGCCGCCCCTCTTAGATCTGATTTACTGCAACTCATGTGATGTTTCAACCTGGATATTTCAATGAGAGAAAAAAGGGTTCCACCTGCACACTTACTCCATGTCACAAAGTTTTTACAATGACGTTTCCTTCCTACTTGAATCTTCATGAGGTCAAAATTGTGACCTGGAGTAAGTGTGCAAGCATAACCCTTTTAGTTAGCCTATGGCACCTATGTGATGTGCATATAACTGCTTAAACCTGGATATTTACCATTTAGTCGACTGTCTTCATGTAATATATGCAATATTTTTACATAGTAAATAAATGCATATGTATTATCATTCCAATCTGTTTTCAGGCTAAAGGGTGGGGAGACTTTGAGAAGAAGATGAGAGCAAGTTATTGGACTGCTTTAAAGATGAATTGGAAAGTTTGGACCCCTTTTCAGTTCATAAATATCAACTTTGTGCCTGTTCAGGTTTGTATTTTACTGGCATCCTGCTATAGAACAAATGATGAATCATATCCTGACACCACTTGTAATGTCTTTACCCCCTCTATGTGTTCCTGTGTTTGTTTTTTGACTTTCAGTTTCGAGTGCTGTTTGCCAACATGATCGCCTTATTTTGGTACGCCTACCTTGCATCTGTGAGGAAATGAAGCTTCCCTAGATTTGCTCACAGAAAACACACCTGGAGGAAAACTGGTTCTTCACAATGGCTTTAACATCTGGCTGTATACTGGAGGTCTACTGCTACTGTATACCTGCTCCCTAGCTGGAGAATAATTATCAAACACTGATTTCTGATTAACTCCTAACAAACCTGTACAATGAGTATAAGCCTGTATAACATGCTGCTATGATATTTTGGGTACATCACTGCATTTGAAATAATGAAAATGTAGTTTATAATAAATGTGTTTGCTACAAAGCACTGCCAAAATCTGATGACGTTGAGGAAAGATGTACCTGTAAACCCGGAATGAATTGATTGAGACAGTCTCTTTTAAATATTGGAATAATGGTAAGTTTAATTCTCATTGATTATGTGTGTGTTGAGGTTGTGGTCTGTCCTGTAAATAAAACAAGACATGTGACACAATTCACATTTGGAGCTTTATTAAAATTAAACACTGCCCAGATAACAGAATAAAAATACATTTATAACATGCTGGGTATGACATTTGAACATGAAACATGTTTTTAAGATATGACAGAATTAGAGATGGAGGAATGCATTGAGTTTTCAAATGGATATAGGCCTACTAATAAATAAATAGTTAATTTATATTGAAAACAAGAATGTAGGCTACAGATTATTAACTTTCTAACATGTAAAGCAGAAGGGTCCTCAGCCTCCTCTCAGACGGGAATTCAGGTTGATGGTACTATGCGCCTTGACGTTGTAGTCTGAAAGTCTACCACCCATCAGCTCCCTGCCTTCATAAATGAGCCTCTGCTGGCTCACAGGGAGCCCCTCTCTGTGCTGGACCTTGGTCTTGAAGTCGTTCACAGTCTCGTCAGGTTTGATATCATAGGTGCTGGTCCTCCCCTGTAGATTTGTGAGGAACACCTGGACGGTAGCCGGCTGGGTCACCAGCAGAGACACCTGGCAGCCCGGCTGCAGGCCGTAGAAGCTGACAGGCTGTGAGTCGTCGCTGAGAGGGGTCCTCTGGCCGTTCACGAACACCAGCTTCTGGCTCTGAGGAGCGACTCCTAGTTTCTCATGGATGAGTATCTTCAGAGATCCCACTGTGTCCTGTGGGTTCACCCTCAGGGAGTGGTGGGTCCCATTCAGCGTAACTATCGTTATGTCCATCATGAAAGTGGCCTGAAAGATCATTCAATACGATTTAAAAATCAGTTCAGTCTAGAAAAACTATTTGAAATAAAGTCCACAGCGTGGTTCATTACAGCGTTGATAAAGACAGCTTCCTACCTTGTGATCAGGTTAGCGAACTCTTCCGGAAAGCTTCAAGTCTTCAGACGGCGACAGGTAAACAAAGATGCTCAGCTGCAGCTGTCAGAGGCTTCCGATCACCGCACTTTATATACAAGCTGCCTCAGCTGTTCAACACAACGCCCCCTTTACTTCACATTCGTTTTCCGTACTTGCCTTCATAACTTTCGGTTTCTATTCTCCCAACATGACACAGATGTTATCCTCCATATAATGTTGCAATCGTTCCTAACACTGCCCAATGGCAAGTTTATGAATTTCCCAGCTAATGATCCAGTTTTGTATAACAGGTGGGGCAGTGGAGAAACGGGTTGTTACTGTTGATAGCTAATTTCTTAAAATAGTCGTGGTAATACAGTAGGCTATATATATGTGTGTGTACTATAACAAATTAACTAACCATTTCTAATAGTAGTCATTGGTTTCATAACACCTTACACTGTAAACTCACAAGTGTCAGAGCTGTACATTGCAACAATACACAGGAAACTTGTGGCCTGTTGTTGTCGACTGAACTTCAAAGTTTACTGAGCGTTTAAATTGAGCTGGGTGAAAAGATACCATTTCATTATCAAAGTAAAATCCAATCCAAATATCTAAACTGGCGTCTTTCAGATATTCCCATAGAATCATGGCAGGATGAGTCATTGTACAGCAAATATTCATCTTTATATCCTTAAATCAACTGCATTTCTCTCTCAGTGGTATGTAATTTTCAGCCGTTATCAGTTTTCATCTTTTACTCTCATTATGGAGGTTAGTAGTAGTTATCTGTAATAGTTCATTGATCTAGAGATGTAAACTTCAGGGTTACTGAACAATTCCAGAGGTGAGCCTTTCTGGCATCAGCTCTTAAGCTTCTCCAGAAAAGCTGGTATTGTGCATCAAAGATGTACAGCAGGTATCAGCAAAAGTCACACAATTACAGGCAGGTTGTTGACAGCCTTGCTGAAGTTTCCTATAAAGTAAGCAAAGATCTCACACAGTTAAAAACTACTTTATCAAAATACCGTTTGGTTTTTCCATCAACAGTCAGAAATTGTCCCACCTTTCTCTGTGGTTCCTCCTCGTGGACTGAAGGAAGAACTAAAGTTGTGCAAGTTGGCCCAAAGTAGTGAGTCGCAGTTACCAGCATCACATTTAGTTAAAGTATTATGATGAGATAACTCTTTTGGTTTGCTGCTGCCTCTTGTTGAAGCGACAGCCAGCAGCTGGAAGAGACACACAGCACAACCTCTCTGTGTTTACCCAGGGCCATCAAATTCCAGCAGATCTACAAGCTTCGCTGAATAAATCTGCTTATGATATGATATTTGTCTGATATCTCGAACGTGTGTCCCAGCTCCATGAAATATACTAACAATCCAAGTGAACTCTGCACTGATGTTGAGAGTACACTATTTAAGAAGCAATGTCTAGTTATGGGATATGTGACCTTACACATTTGAAGATGAGAGGAAGTTACTGTACTGCTTTAAAGATAAATAGGAAAGTTTGGACCCCCTTCCAGATCATAAATATCAACGTTTTGCCTGTTCAGGTGTATCATCGAACAAATTATGAATCTTGAACCCCCTGTTCGTGTTGCTTGACAGGTCGGGTCTGTTTTGGCAGCTAAAGGGAGACCTACATTATGAGAGGTGGTCATAATGTAATGGCTGATCTGTGTATTTTTCACCAATAAGATGTCAAGAGTGAGGAAGCTAAAAGAGAGATCGCACAGACCAACATGGGGCCTCTATATGATTTACAGAGATGGTGCTGATGAAGAGGGCAGGCCAGCGGATGATGGAGTGGCGGTCGAGGGTGTGGAACTGATAAGTGAGCTAGTAAGTATTTCCTTTGGTTGTGCCATGCTTTTTGCCCTGCTATACACTCAGGAACTCAAATTCACATTTGAGTTCTTCCAGAAGGTATTAATGAACTTGGATGGTAACAAAGTGTCCCCAAAGGTCCAGACATTAAAGATTAAGACGCAACAGTGAGCTCCCAAGTACAGTGCTGGACAGCTAGGCTATAGCCACATTTTGGCTTATTAGACTTTGCCATTGTGATTACCTGAATAAAGCCCCCTCAATAGTTTATGTGATTTGAAAACAAACACTGAAACAGCATGTTCTTCTGATTATTTTTTGGCATTGTGTATTGCCACTTTGTGTTAACTTGCTCATTTGTTAAGACCTGTTGTTGGAGTGTTGAAGCAGTTGGTGGAGGACACCGCTCCTGGACCCTGACATTTTTGTACTGAGATTTTATACTATTATCTTTGCTAGTCGATTGAGAGACCCCTTTTCTAGGCCTTCTGCCTTTTTCATGTTTCTCATGGATGACTTGTTCCCATCCTTCAAACAAATATCCCAAGGACTGAGCGCTAACCTGTTGAATGTTTTACATTTTGCTGTAATCCTGTTTTAAATGTTGATGTAATTCAGATCCCTTCTTAAACCTGTAAGATGTTCTAGGAGTGAAATGTATGTATACTGAAATCGTAAATGGAAAGCATTATTATTATTAATATCATTATTTCTACGTACTTGGAAGATGGAGGCCTACACATCACAGCGTCAATCACTCAGCAGTTAGGTCAAGAGGACCATATCTAAATATGTAAATGTGTAACTCTTGATGTTGTCTTGTATTGTTCAGACTGGTATTTGATACTTGATATTTTTGAGTATTGTATTTAAAAAAGCCCCTCTTTTGACTGGAAAACTGTTTTTTTTTTGTATTATTTTAAAATAAATTTTAAGTTACTGATTACAGTAAGTCATATTCCAGGGGAAAGCCTTTATTCTTCTAAAGGTAGGTCTTGTTAAATTGGCCTATCCATGGTTGTAAGACATAATTATGGATCTGCCAATATGTTTTTTGTATTATGAAAAAAGCAATTTGAAAAGTATCACTTGTAATATGTAGACATATATTAAAACATAATGCTGATGTAGATGTTCCCTTAAACTTTAAAGTGAATAAACACATGTGGATTATTTATAAGTTTCCCTAGTTTTACTCACAGAAAAAACACCTGGATGAAAACTGGTTCTTGCAGAGCACTTCTAAAATAGTGTAAGATATAACAATAAACCTGGAATTAATTGATTGAGACCGTCTCTTTTAAATCTTGTAATAATGTCAAGTTTAAGTTATTACGTGTGTCTCTGGTTACTGATGGATGTGGAGCTGTACAGGGTACAGCTCCACCCCTGAGCTGAAGAATAAGCTACAGGAAATGAGACATATGCACATTCATATTTAGAGCTTTATTTAAAAAAAAATATTTAACAGTTGTCGGTTGACAATATCAAAACGTGTATTTGTAAAAATAAAATTAAGGGATATAACGTGTCAGGTTGTGTTGTATAGCATTTGTATTGTCATTGTAAAGATATGACAGAATTACAGATCAAGGAATGCATTGATTTTCTCGAAATGGAAATACAATTAAATAACAAATACTAATTTCTATATAATCAAAAAATCTGCAGATTATCTTTGTCTAACATGTAAAGCAGAAGGGTCCTCAGCCTCCTCTCAGACGGGAATTCAGGTTGATGGTACTATGCGCCTTGACGTTGTAGTCTGAAAGTCTACCACCCATCAGCTCCCTGCCTTCATAAATGAGCCTCTGCTGGCTCACAGGGAGCCCCTCTCTGTGCTGGACCTTGGTCTTGAAGTCGTTCACAGTCTCGTCAGGTTTGATATCATAGGTGCTGGTCCTCCCCTGTAGATTTTTGAGGAACACCTGGACGGTAGCCGGCTGGGTCACCAGCAGAGACACCTGGCAGCCCGGCTGCAGGCCGTAGAAGCTGACAGGCTGTGAGTCGTCGCTGAGAGGGGTCCTCTGGCCGTTCACGAACACCAGCTTCTGGCTCTGAGGAGCGACTCCTAGTTTCTCATGGATGAGTATCTTCAGAGATCCCACTGTGTCCTGTGGGTTCACCCTCAGGGAGTGGTGGGTCCCATTCAGCATAACTATCGTTATGTCCATCATGAAAGTGGCCTGAAAGATCATTCAATACGATTTAAAAATCAGTTCAGTCTAGAAAAACTATTTGAAATAAAGTCCACAGCGTGGTTCATTACAGCGTTGATAAAGACAGCTTCCTACCTTGTGATCAGGTTAGCGAACTCTTCCGGAAAGCTTCAAGTCTTCAGACGGCGACAGGTAAACAAAGATGCTCAGCTGCAGCTGTCAGAGGCTTCCGATCACCGCACTTTATATACAAGCTGCCTCAGCTGTTCAACACAACGCCCCCTTTACTTCACATTCGTTTTCCGTACTTGCCTTCATAACTTTCGGTTTCTATTCTCCCAACATGACACAGATGTTATCCTCCATGTAATGTTGCAATCGTTCCTAACACTGCCCAATGGCAAGTTTATGAATTTCCCAGCTAATGATCCAGTTTTGTATAACAGGTGGGGCCGTGGAGAAACAGCTCTTGTGGTATTAATAGATTACAGGCAATGGAAGATTAACAAGGAACTTTTAGTTGGCATGATTGAGCAAATCAGGACTGTCCATTTCTAAAGGAGGGGCAAAATCATTTCATCAGGTGAAATGTGAGTGACAAACAGATCGTAGTGCAGGGGTATTCAATTAGATTTCCAAGAGGTCTAGTTAGAGAAAATTTCCTGAAGCAAAGGACCGGAACATCAAAACGACGAACTTGCGTTATCATTCAGTACTATAACCTATAGTTGTATCAACACATGTTTTTAGTCAACAACGGACTGTCAAATCAAATAATATTTCAGTCAGTTTTCACATCAAACTGGAAGGATAATAAATAATAACTATTCAAATAATAAAGTCTAAATTTAAGTAAGCTAAATTAAAGTGCCTAATTTTTAGAAAAAATGTAACAAAAAGTGTAGCTTGAAGTGATGAAGTGTAGTCTTAACCAATTTTATAATAAACACTCAACACATCATAACAAATGAACAGCTGTAATGCCTCCTCTTCTCTTTCATTTCCTCTTACAGAGCTACCACTTTCCTACTTTCTGTTGTTCAGTGAGAAACGTGAGCTCCAGCTAGCATATTGGAGATCTATGAGATATTCTGGTTTTGAACTGCCCGTGGGAGGAATGTACATGTAAAAATCTGTACATTCTTGATTAAGTCATGTGAAATCTCTTTTATCTTTCGTCTCCTCAATTCGGGTGTGTTTCCAAAACGTCTCTGGTGAATCTCGCGGACTCGACTCGCAAGCATCGGTATGCACAGATTTGATTGGCTGAGCAGCGTCACATGAGACGATTGGAGCACATGCGATTGGTCTGTGAGTTTCCTGGTCCTCTAAACCAGTACAGTAAATGCTAGAAAAGCTGCGCGGGTTAAAATAGAAACGCTCCGTCACGAGGTAGTAAGTCTCAATAATAAATGGGCTGTAGGTCGGCGGTCCGGAGAGGACGGCGGCTGGGTCCGCCTATTAGTGACCTCTGTCGTAGTGTATTACTACGGACACAAAACAGAAAGAGAAAAAGATTACATATTTGTTTTTTTTTTATTAAAGTTACACACTATGAATGAAAACAGGACACAAGAAGATCATAATGTAAATAACAAATGTACTGCCATTGCACTGAATGTCAGTCAAATTTCAGTACAATTTTCATAAAATTATGATAAAACAGGATTTAACAATAGGTGTAAGCGATAAATATCATGGATAAAGTCATGAACATCAGATCTCTGAGTGTTTCAGCATGGCAGCCCTCTCCTCCTGCTTTGGTAGAGGAATGTTTCCTGTGGTAAGACAATAAATATTAGTTAAGGATCCAAACAATGACAAATTTACAACATCATCTTTAAGTGTATTCACTTGGCATCTTAATAATGTGCAACTAATTATAAAATCAACACTAATGTTTACAATTACATGGGGTTTATTCTTACCTGGTGGAGCCAAAAAGTATTCCTCCACTGTGGTTTTGGAGAGCTGAAGTAGTTCTTCAGCACAGTCCCCTTCCACCACTGTATCGTCCCTCAGGTTTAATGCCCTGAATGTGCATAGAGAAAACATTAACACATTCATGTAATAAGAGTTTTAAAATGGGGCTACAATTGTTGCTAATTTGTTATGCTATTTGGATACAACTGTGATGAAAAGGCCCACATGTAACAACCGTCTGAACTGCACCTGTCCTCCAGAACTGAATCCATCGGTTCAACCCCCGACGTGTCAACAACATGAAGCTGATCTGCAAATCGTACAGCTTTCTCCAAACAATCCAGTCCCTGTTTGGTGCGGAAATCAACCAAGGCCAGCCGTTCTAGTTTGTCCACCAGGTCAGCAGGGATTTGGGTGGGCTGCAAGAATCAATGTGTGACAGTTTCCTTCCACCATCACTTTCTAATAATGTGTATTCATTGAATAAAGTCACTACATCCATTAGTAACTTCTAATCAGCAAACATTGTTATGACTCGTGCCATGTCATGTTTTTAACTTTGGTCTTTGGTAATCTCTTTTGTAATATGCCGTTTCTTTTTGTTGCCATAATTGTGTGATTTGTCTTTACATCCTCCAAAACAAACAACAAATGTACCAAAAATTTAACTTGTGTTTTTACTGAGAAATCCCCTTCTTTGTGTTACTAATCCTCTGTCACAGCTCAACAAGTAAAGGCTAATAGCACTGCAACTTTGGCATATTCTTTCCTCCTCAAACCCACACCTTCCTCCAGACTGAACATTTGCAGTAGTCCTGTCTCTGCCTCACTGGCTGCTGGCTAAACTATACACTTTCCTGCACTACTACTTTTATATAAGTGTACCTGCACATGCCCATACTGTATTTATCATAGTGTCATAATTTTTACCCCACACTGTTTTATTTAAAAAATATATCATGTCTATGTATATGTACATACAGTACTTTACTGCTTTTTGCACATCTGGTATGCTAAACTGTATTTTGTTGTCTCAGTAGCTACCATTACTACTCAAATAAGGTTGAATCTAATCTTTGAATGAACACACTGGTCCCTGAATGTTACTGTTAAGTAAATATGAATTATCCAAGCTTTTGGTCACCAAGCTAAGTTCTGTATGTACTTCACATGCACGCAGTCATGAAGATATTACCGGGGGAAGTTGGTCCTCTGGTACTGGCTCCCATGTTGCAACAGCCGGTATCTATTCAAAGAGAGACCCAGGAAGCAGGACTGACAAGTCAATACTCTGCTTTGGCAACTATTTGAACTGACTGCAATTAAAATAATAACAACTGTCCTCGAATTTACCTTGGGGTTATGTGGTTGAGAGCTCAACAGACGCGTTACATTTGTGGTGTGTTTCTGCAGGCAGCGGTTTCTTCCACTGTGGAAGTCCCCCACGTTTGTTATTGAGTGCCCATCGTGTGTTAACAGGTTACACGAAGGCCGAATGATGTTCGCTGACACGCTGCTGCATGTGCGTTTAACAGTGAGGCTAAACACTGACATTTTTAGCACAGCTATGCCCGATTTGTATAAAAAGGGTGTCGCATTTTCTTAGTTTGTAATAACTCACCAGGAAGGTCTGACCTGGGCTATAAACTAGCTTCACATTAATGTGGCTAACGACTTGCCGTAGCTAGCAAGGGGGTAAGCCAGAGATCAGACAGTGAAGCCGACCAAAGCCTGCATGGAGGGATCCATGTGGGCCCAAAAATGACGTCAAAACCCTGTGACACCCCGTCGCACATGAGAGATGTAACCGTATTGCTTAGATTATAAACTCTAAAAAAACTATTCGGCCATCAGTGACGCTGCGTTGGTGTTTCACAGGTGAGACACGTAGGTGGGCTGATTAATCAGTGACGATCCGAGTCAGACGAACACACTGAGCCATGAAACTTTTTGTTGGTGCAGCTACGCAGCTACCACAATTACGGTGTTTCTGCCGTTGTTCTACGTCATTAAACCACGGTTATGCTGCGCGATCATGCGCAGTAGACGCTGGTGCCAACAGGAAGTGGCCCTGTAGTATTTTACTGGTCCAAAACTGGCTTCACTCTTCTCCATTCACATCTGCGGAGTGGCTTCGTCCAGTAATATACTGTCTATAGTGCACCCACCATGTACACCATATTACAACGTTGAAAACAGAAAATAAATAAAAAGTCATTCACAAAATATATCCTTTATGTTTGACAACGGTCGACAGTACTTTCAGAGCGCCCGGATAGCTCAGTCGGTAGAGCATCAGACTTTTAATCTGAGGGTCCAGGGTTCAAGTCCCTGTTCGGGCGTTGAAAGTTTTGTTCCGAGCCTACAGACTTTGGTAACGTGCGCCAGTGTGTTGACATCAAATCACGTCTTGTCAATTTACAATTTTCTCTGGTTAATAATCAGCTACCTGGCTAAATTACAGAGAAGAAACAACTAGCTTTCCACCACGCTCGGTGGACGGGTACCAATGGTCTTCTGAGTGGTCTCAGTCACCCGCTGCAGAGCCCTCCTGTCCTGGGCCGTGCACATCCCATGTCAGTTTGTGATTCAGGATGATTTTATATTGCTCCTCTCTCTGTAAAAGTTAACAAGAACTTAGATAGTTTAGCCTTCTTAAGCTTCCTTAAGAAATACAGCTGTTTTCACCAAGACAGGTTCAGTGTGATGCTGAATCTCAATATCCTAAAACTTCAAACTTCACCTGTTCCACTGATGTATACAGCAGTTCGTTTTAGTTCATATAAAGTGGGGGCGTCTTGAAGTCGGAGAAATGTTGTTCTATTAACGTTACATATTTAACCTTGTATAACGTTACCCACAATTTGAGATATTTGAAAGACACATGTAGTATTGTGGAAGTTTCCTGCGTAATTCTCGCGTACTGTAGCGTATAAGAATTTGCTTAAGTAATCAAAAAGAAAAATGTAACGTTACACTTACAGTTATTCACGTATCATGTTATGAGTCACAATGCTGTTTTCCTTCTCAGAGCGCCCGGATAGCTCAGTCGGTAGAGCATCAGACTTTTAATCTGAGGGTCCAGGGTTCAAGTCCCTGTTCGGGCGTAGAATTTTTCTTTTTGATGTGTTGGCGATTCTACTGCCATTGCACTCTGTGAGCACCAGTATGTGTACCTGGGGATCACTTTGGCCCGTCTCCAAATAATCTTGTTTTTTTTTTTGCAGCCAATCCGTCTGGAGACTCCAGCTCCTCCACCCTAGCTGTTCAACTGAGCTAGTTTAACACATAACACGTAAAGTTCACCACAAAAAATAGCTTGTGGGACTCTGTAGCTAGCTCACCGTTTCTTAACGGGACACCTCTTCACTGACTTGTACAGTTTTGCATTGTTTTTACCTGTTTATATATTTATTATTTACCCATCACTGTATATTGTTGTTGGAAATGTTACAGATAGGGGAGAGCAGGGTGAGTTGGGCCAGATTTTACTTGAGTTGTTTTTAAAGTGAGGACATGACAGTAATGTCTCCAACTAAAATACAGTATGTGCATGTATTTTAGGATGTAGTGCATCCCTGGGAATAATCAATTTGGATCTAAATTAAACTGTTTTCAAAATATGGCTTTCCAATAAAAAAAAAAGGACTCTTGGCTCAACTTGCGGCATATGAGGGGTAAGTTGAGCCAAGGGAGAGGATAAGTTGAGCCACATGGGGGTCGGGACATCAATGTCATTTCATCATGCAAACTCAAACGCCAGATCCCAACATTCAATTGCACTTTTTGCAGCAGCTATGTCTCCTAGTTGTTTCAGATCAATGTATTACTTTTAAAGTTATCCTGTCCCGTGCAACCTGATAAATGAACTTCCCATTTGTGTACCTCTCCCTCTACTCTTTCCAAACCCACAATAGGAGTTGAAGCCTGTCTGTTTTCCATTTAGAAGCATGACATGATGGTTTTTGGTCTAAAATGCATAATGTCACATCATTTCGGTGATGCATAAAAATGCTATGTAAAATTACCATCAAATAGTTGGCTCAACTTCCCCCAGGTCTTTTGGCTCAAATTACCCCATCCCTGTCATTTTAACAAACTTGTGTCATCCAGCAGTTTAAGAGTAATGTCACACTAACAGTATAGCCTCATATTGTAACTTCCTAAAGCACTAACACATGATTTTCTCAAACCTATCGGTAATTGTTCAGACATTAGAATCAGGGCTCCTTGAACATATAAAAATCACTTATAACAGCAAAAAACATTTTTTTCATCTTAAATATGCTTATCACTTATTCCATGGGCCTCTCTTCATCACAGGGAGACTCAAATGGATGACTCTTTAAAATGTGTGGTCACATGACCAACTTAGTCTATGGTTGCCGAGAAACAAGGGGGGGCTCAACTTCCCCGCAGGCTCAAATCACCCCGCTATTCCCTACAGTCCTTACACTGCGTTAAGGTCGCCGTTAGCTAGATATTTGTGCGTATTCCAGTCAGAACACTTCTGTAACCTCATTCTACACTAATGTATATACACACATACAGGTGCTGGTCATATAATTAGAATATCATCAAAAAGTTGATTTATTTTCCATTCAAAAAGTGAAACTTGGATATTATATTCATTCATTACACACAGACTGATATATTTCAAATGTTTATTTCATTTAATTGTGATGATTAAAACGGACAACTAATGAAAATCCCAAATTCAGTATCTCTGAAAATTAGATTATTACTGAAGACCAATACAAAAAAAAGGATTTTTAGAAATGTTGGCCAACTGAAAAGTATGAACATGAAAAGCATGTACAGCACTCAATACTTAGTTGGGGCTCCTTTTTGCCTGAATTACTGCAGCAATGCGGCGTGGCATGGAGTCGATCAGTCTGTGGCACTGCTCAGGTGTTATGAGAGCCCAGGTTCTCTGATAGTGGCCTTCAGCTCTTCTGCATTGTAGGGTCTGGCGTATCGCATCTTCCTCTTCACAATACCCCATAGATTTTCTATAGGGTTAAGATAAGGCGAATTTGCTGGCCACTTAAGAACAGGGATACATACCATGGTCCTTAAACCAGGTACTGGTAGCTTTGGCACTGTGTGCAGGTGCCAAGTCCTGTTGGAAAATGAAATCTGCATCTCCATAAAGGTGGTCAGCAGCAGGAAGCATGAAGTACTCCAAAACTTCCTGGTAGACGGCTGCATTGACCTTGGACCTCAGAAAACACAGTGGACCAACACCAGCAGATGACATGGCACCCAAACCATCACTGACTGTGGAAACTTTACACTGGACTTCAAGCAATGTGGATTCTGTGCCTCTCCTCTCTTCCTCCAGACTCTGGGACCTTGATTTCCAAAGGAAATGCAAAATTTACTTTCATCAGAGAACATAACTTTGGACCACTCAGCAGCTGTCCAGTCCTTTTTGTCTTTAGCCCAGGCGAGACACTTCTGACGCTGTGTCTTGTTCAAGAGTGGCTTGACACAAGGAATGCAACAGCTGAAACCCATGTCCTGCATACGTCTGTGCGTGGTGGTTCTTGAAGCACTGACTCCAGCTGCAGTCCACTCTTTGTGAATCTCCCCCACATTTTTGTATGGGTTTTGCTTAACAATCCTCTCCAGGGTGCGGTTATCCCTATTGCTTGTACACTTTTTTTCTAGCACATCTTTTCCTTCCCTTTGCCTCTCTATTAATGTGCTTGGACACAGAGCTCTGTGAACAGCCAGCCTCTTTAGCAATGACCTTTTGTGTCTTGCCCTCCTTGTGCAAGGTGTCAATGGTCGTCTTTTGGACAGCTGTCAAGTCAGCAGTCTTCCCCATGATTGTGTAGCCTACAGAACTAGACTTAGAGACCATTTAAAGGCCTTTGCAGGTGTTTTGAGTTAATTAGCTGATTAGAGTGTGGCACCAGGTGTCTTCAATATTGAACCTTTTCACAATATTCTAATTTTCTGAGATACTGATTTGGGGGTTTTCATTAGTTGTCAGTTATAATCATCACAATTAAAAGGAATGAACACTTGAAATATATCTGTGTGTATATCTGTGTATGTCTGTGTGGAGTGAATGTATACATTATACAAGTTTCACATTAGATTCACATTACACATCACACAAAAATAATGCGGATTCCATTTTATTTTTTTTATAAGAACATATACCATTTAATATATATATATATGAACTCTTAGTATAGAATTTGATTGTTTTACAATACACAGTTAGAACTGGCCACAAAATAAAAATATCAGCTTTACAAACAAAGCAGCATCTGAATGAATGAAGAAATTAATAAATAAATAAATACTTTGGCAAGTAAATGTTAATAAATTAAAATAGGTTTGCAGCAGCTAGCATTCACAAAGAAACATCAATATTAAAAGCAATTCATCTTACCACATTCATGAAACAACACTTGTGAAGTATGAGGCAATGAATGAAAAGCATGAATGCTGGTGACTGAGACCAACATTAATATTCATTTAAGGGATTAAAAGCATACATATTGTGTGTCCTCACAAGCCTGAAATCTGCCAAAACGTCAAAACAGTTTCCCCCCATAACATGTCATATGCATGACATATAAATATGTCAGACTGTACCTCATTTTCATCTCTCTGTTCAAGTTCAAGTGGAATCAAAACCTTTCCTTTGGTCAGTGTGACTAAATATCATCACAGTCTCATCTGATCTTTCCTATTCATAATCATGTTCAAGATGAAATTAACATTTAATTCAAAAATCAGGCACCAGC